TGTACAAAGGAGTTTTTTGTTTTTGGTTGGTCATGAACTCAGGGCCTGGGCACTGTCCTTCAGCTCTACAGCTCAAGGCAAGATCTCTACCACTTAAGCTACAGCACCACTTCTGGTTTTCTGGTAATTTACTGGAGATAAGAGTCTCATGGAGTTTCCTTCCAGGGTTGGCTTTGAACCTTGTTCCTTAGATCTCAGCCTCCGGAGTAGCTAGGATTACAGGTGTGAGTCACCGGTGCCCAGTAGGAGTTTTCTTTTACAAAAGGAGTACAATGTATATTGATCATTGTTACCCCTTTTTGACATTCTCACTCATTCCTTCTCTACCCACCATTTCCCTCACTCTTCTTAATTTTGTAGGCTATATATTGTATTTTATTTTTATTGCAAAAGTGACATACAGAGGGGCTATAGTTACATAAGGCAGGTACATTTCTTTTTGACCAGTGTCAACTCTTCCCTTTTTCTCCCAGTTTTTTTCCCTCCTGATCCCCCTTCTCCTCCAAGTTGAATGGTTCATTTTCAACATAGTGTCTTAATGAATATCACTGCTGAATTAGTTCACCCTTTGTCCCATCATTTCTTTTTTTTTTTGGTCCGGTCCTGGGGCCTGAACTCTGGGCCTGGACACTGTCCCTCAGCTTTTCAGCTCAAGGCTAGCGGTCTACCACTTGAGCCACAGAGCCACTTCCGGCTTTTTTCTTTTTGTTTATGGGTGCTGAGGAATCGAACCAGGGCCTCGAGCATGCAAGGCAAGCGCTCTACCACAGAGCCACCTTCCCAGCCCCTGTCCCATCATTTCTGTGCTTCTTCTTCCCCTCCCCAAATCAGATAAAGTTGCATACAAAAGAGACAGAAATCAAAAACAGCAACAAATAGGAAAAATAAACCCACAAAAAGTAAAATAGAAAACCTCTTGTTTTCATTGCTTGGAGTTCATTTCAATAAGCATCATTTTATATGATTATCTGCACATAGCTATTGAGCCCTTGTGATCTCCTTTGGTCTCACTTATGTGAATGTTTAGAATCTTGACCACTTTCCACTTCTCTTCCTTTGTCTATCCCTTTCCCCTTACCATCTCTCCACTTTCAAGTACCTGCTTCCTGGTGTTTTATTTTACTGAACTTTGATTTTTGCCTTTTTAAAGGAATTACACTATTTGAATTCTCCCTTGAATCTGCCCTATTTCAGTTAATATATTTGTATTCCTTAGTATACCAGCATACCAGGCCTTGACAATTTCCTGGGCCAAAATTTCACATTGCTGTACTGTCGTCTGTGTCCTTACAAGCCTTTTTGTAGAAAAAAAAATTTTAAGCCGTTTGTCAGCAAGATTTCTCTCTCTCTCCCCCCCCCCCTCTTGTGATATCATTCAAAGAAAAAAAATCTAATAAATACTCAGAGAAGGAAGAATTGAGGTTTTAGACTGCTCTGGTGGTACATACCTTTAATTGCAGGTTGTAGTTCAAAGCCAACTCTGGCAACACAGTGATACCTTCTCTCAGGAAAAAATAAGTTGAGATTTTTTTTTTTTTGGTCTGTTTTGGGGCTTGACTTCTGGGCCTGGGTGCTGTCCCTGAGCTCTTCAGCTCAAGGTGAGTGCTCTACCACTTGAGCCACAGTGCCACTTCCGGTTTTCTGATGGTTTATTGGAAATAAGAGTCTCATAGTTTCCTGCCCGGACTGGCTTTGAACCATGATCTCAGATCTCAGCCTCCTGAGTAGCTAAGATTACAGGTGTGAGCCATTGGCACCTGACTTAGAATGCTAGCCTGTGCAAAAAGCTCAGGGACTACACCCAGGCCCTGAATTCAAGCACTGACTGGCACATATAAACACATACATACCACCACCACCACCACCACCACCAAAACCCCCATAAAAATATAATATATGTAAACGTAAATATATATTTTTACATATACCAGGAAGCTTCAGTAGCAGATTTCTAGGGTTCTAAACTCATGTAATTCATGCAGAAAAGTATATACCCTTTAAGAGAGCTCTTGGGGCAAGTGCTGGTGGCTCATGCCTGTAATCCTCACCACTCAGAATACTGAGATTTGAGGATCCAGGCTTGAGGCCAGACAATGCAGGGAGGTCTGTGAGACTCTTATCACCAATTAACCACTAAAAAGAAGGAGATGGAGCTGTGGCTCAAGTGCTGGAGTGCCAGCCTTATGAAAAAAAAATGCTAAGGGACAACACCCCCAGTACCAGCACACACAAAAGAAGTAAATAAATGAGAGCTTATGTCCATATGAATAGAATATGGATGTTTCTAGTGTTTATTTTTTGCTGGTCCTGGGCCTTGAACTCTGGGCCTTGGCACTGACCCTTAGCTCCTTTTGCTCAAGGCTAGCACTCTACCACTTGAGCTACAGCATCACTTCCAACATTTTCTGTGATTAATTGGAGATAAGAAAGTCTATGGACTTTACTGCCCAGTCTGGCTTCAAACCTCAATCCTCAGATCTCAGCTTCCTGAGTAGCTAGAATTATAGGCATGAGCCATCAGCACCCAGTTAGTGTTTTTTAATTGCCCAAAAAGTATTAAAAAATCTGTATCAAGCCACTTTTCATTATTATCATTATCATGAACTATCTCAAGCAGACTGCTTTATGAAATGATTTATTTTGGCTTTTGGAGGTGCAAAGTCTAAGAACTTCGTGTAATGATATCCTTCTTTCGGACAAAGTCCCAGGACAGCTCAGAACACATCGTATGGCATTGTCATCTGGTCTCTTTTCTTATAAAGCCACCAGAATTCAATCATCAGGGCTCCTCCTAATGGCTTTATCTGACCCTAATCACTTCCCAGAGGCTGGACCTCTGAACACAGTTAACTGTATTATACTTCCACCCCTTTAATGCCTAACAAGAGACTAAATTTCAATATATGAAGCCTTAGGGCACACAAATTACTTCTGAACCATACCACACACCAATGATCATCAGTAGACTTGGAGAGAGGTTGAATAGCCTGTATTTCTTCTTCAGCTATGCAGCCCAAATAGCCTCAAACTTCTGATCCTCTTGTCTCAGCCTCCTGAATGCTGTGATGACAGCTGTTGCTGCTATACCTGGCTATGAGCATCATTTCTATAAGACCAATGATGATAGTACTGTCATTTCCACACTAGGTTTTGAGTAGTAAAACTCTTGAGTTTCTCTTGACATGGCATTTAAGTGCATGATAGCTACATGTAGCAGGTACCACTTCGGACTTGCCGATAAGACAATTTCTACTTAAGAATGCTATACTGATCTGGGTATCAGTGGCTCATGCCTGCAATCCTAGCTGGTTAGGAGGCTGAGATCTGAGGATCGTGCTTCAAAGCCAGTCCTGGTAGCAAAGTCTGTGAGACTCCTACCTGGCTTGTATTTTTTTTTTTTTTTGCATGGATTCTTTCATCTTTGTGTATCCATTGTTCATTCCTTTAGCAAGTACAATTCCATTATATGAATAAACTTGGATTTATTCATTCATCTATTGATTCCTACCTCCCAGAAAACTGGAAATGACGTTGTGGCTTACAGTAGTAGAATGTTAGCCTTCAGAGAAAGAGTTCAGGGACAGCACCGAGCCCTGAGTTCAAGCCCCACCACTGACAAAAAAAAAACAAGGAATGCTTTACTGGATGTCTGAAGCTGAAACTGTTGAATACACTGGTAACAATTAGTCTTATCTGTTAGTTACCTTTCTTTACTCACTCCATTCTCACAGAGAGTGCCCTTACTTCATAAATCTGTGCTGTAAGGTGCTGCCTACTTTTATCATGTTCATTCTGATTTACAGGACAATGATTCTGGAAATCAGAAAGTTACAATGGAGATAGACACCAATTCAATTGAAGGAGCAGTTTCCTAACAACTGATGTGTTTAAAAATCTCACATTTTGCTTGACTTCATTATCCCAAATATATATATATATATATTTTTTTTTGATCTGGTCATGAGGGCTGAACTCGGGGTCTGGGCACTGTCCCTCAGCTCTTCAGCTCAAGGCTAGCGCTTTACCACTTGAGTCACAGTGCCACTTCCGGTTTTTTCTGCTTATGTGGTGCTGAGGAATCGAGCCCAGGGCCTCATGCATGCGAGGCAAGCACTCTACCACTGAGCCAACTTCCCAGCCCTATCCCAAATATTTTTCATGACACTTGTGGTTAAGTTCAGGATTGTGTATGGCAAGTTTTACTGTTGTTTCTACCATTATTAGATGTGACCTGAGATAAATCAGAATGTCCCTAGGAGTGAATTTTCATCTCTGAAATGAGAGGTTTGAGCTAGATTATTTTAGTTTCCTATGATTTTGACACTCCGCAATCATCTGTTGCCGAGTAAAGATGGCACAAAGGTAGAAAGAAATTGAACTTCTTGGAAAGCCACCATGCTTTACATCAGGAGAGGACTGGGTGGTGTGTAAATTGCATCTGTTCGAAGTTTTACAAGTAAACAGTATCAGCATTTGTACAGTTACCAGTGATCAGCAATTTTTGTATAAAGCATTAAGAAACAAGCATTTCTGGCTTTGTAGGCCACATAGTTTCTGTTGCTATTGTTCAACTTTGCCATTCTCATGTGAGAGCAGTCATGGCCCACGTACAAGTGAAAATGCATGTTGTGGCCACATAATAGTTTGCTAATGCAGAACACACTATTGACATTCTCACTAACTCAAGTCTCAAGCAAGGAAATGGGAAATCAGGTGAAAAAAATGGGAGAAAAGTCACTCCACTGATTTAATTTTATTAACTATAAATATAAAAAACCTGTTTTTTACACATCTAATAACACAAAGCCGGGCACTAGTGGCTCACTCTTGTAATCCTAGCTGTACAAGGGGGTGGAGATTTGACGATTGCAGTTCAAAGCCAGCCTGGGTAGGAAAGTCCATGAAACTCTAATATACAATGAACTACTCAGAAAAAGCTGGAAGTTTTGCTGTGGCTCAACTGATAGAGCGTGAGTAAAAGAAACTCAGGGACAGAAACCCAGACCCCGAATTCAAGCCCCATGACGAAACAAAGAAACCAAAAAGACTCCCCCCGCAAACCAACTTCTACATGTCAACATGTTATTTCAGGTTATCCCTATTTTCATCTGATAAACTAGATTTTCAAAGGATAGGAAATTCAACATTCTATCTTCATTCATCAGAAGCCTTAAGAAGAGCGGCATTCTTTTTATACTTTTCTGTAATCTCTCTAATATTTTCCAGGAGATCTTCAGATATGCATTCTTCATATTCCCGATCAGCTTTAGCAATCTGCTCCTCCAGATGTTTCTAGTGGAAACAATGAACAATTATTAGTGTAAAAACATGAATTTTGTTTAAAGTGTGAAATTTACAAAGAAGAGTAATAGCTATAAGTTAAAAATACAAAAATATTCTTGTATCCATTATATAGGCTCTTTTGTCTTTTTTTTTTTTTTAATTTTGTTGGTCATAGGTCTTGAACTCTGGGCCTGGGTGCTGTCCCTGAGCTCTTCAGCTCAAGGTAAGAGCTCTACCATTCAAGCCACTGTGCCACTTCCAGCTTTCTGGTGAATTGGAGATAAGAGTCTCATTGACTTACCAGCCTGTGATCCTCAGATCTCAGCCTCCTAAGTAGCTAGGATTATAGATGTGAGCCACCAGCGCCTGGGCACTTTTGTGTTTTCTTTTCTTTTTTTTTTTTTGTCAGTCGTGGGGCTTGAACTCTGGGCCTGGGTGCTGTCCCTCAGCTCTTCAGCTCAAGGCGAGCGCTCTACCACTTGAGCTACAGCGCCACTTCCGGTTTTCTGGTGGTTTATTGGAGATAGGAGTCTCACGGTCTCTCCTGCCCGGGCTGGCTTTGAACCGCGATCCTCAGATCTCAGCCTCCAGAGTAGCTAGGATTACAGGCGTGAGCCACCAGCGCCTGGCACTTTTGTGTTTTCTTAATGATGTTCCCCAGGTATCTATTTGCCTACGTGGTGTTATTTTATATTCCTAAACACACACACATGCACACACCTCTAACATATAGTTGCATGCCATACAATAATGTTTTGGTTAATGATGGACTACACACACAAAGATGGTTCTACATTATGATACTATTTAATGATGACATCCTATTTTGTTCAGCTAACATTTTTTTTTTTTTGGGGTCCGGTCGTGGGGCCTGAACTCTGGGCCTGGGCACTGTCCCTCAGCTCTTCAGCTCAAGGCTAGCACTCTACCACTTGAACCACAGCGCCACTTCTGGTTTTTTCCTTATGTGGTGCTAAGGAATCGAATCCAGGGCCTCTGCATGCAAGGCAAGTGCTCTACCACTAAGCCACCTTCCCAGACCTCAACTAACATTTTTAATGTTTACAAAACAATGAAATTATCTAACAACACATTTCCCAAAATATGTCCTCATTATGCAATGCACGAATTTTATTGCTTTTCACTTACTTCTGGCCTTTTGGTGGGTAATTGAAGATAAGAGTCTCATGGACTTTCCTGTCTAGGTTAGCTTTGAACTATGATTATCAAGATCTCAAACTCCTGAGTTGCTAGGATTACAGGCATGTGCCACTGACAGTTCAGAGTTCCTGTGTGTGTGTGTGTGTGTGTGTGTGTTGATTTTTTTTTATGGTGCTGGGATTAAACTCAAGGATGTGCACATAACAGCAAACACTCTACCATTAAACTATACTCCTAGCCTACTGATGAACTTTCAAGCTACATGAAGAGTCCCTGAGGATAGGGTAAATAGACTTCAGACTTTATTCTGTGTCTATATGAAATTATAGAAAGGAAAATCACTTGTTATAATATTTATGCAAACAACTTATTTTACAAAATATACAAATGTTACCCTCTATCTGCTCATCAGACCAGTCAGAATTCTGATAAAATGTGTGTGTGTGTGTGTGTGTGTCTGTGATGGTCCTAGGGCTTGAGCTCAGGACCTGCGTACTAAGCCTTTTTGTTCAAGGCTAGCACTCTACCACTTGAGCCACAGCTCCACTTCTAGCTTTTTGGTAGTTAACTGGAGATAAGAATCTCATGGAATCTTTTGCCTGGGCTGGCTTTGCACTGTGATCTTCAGATCTCAGCCTCCTGAGTAGTTATGATTACAGGTGTGAGCCAATGGTGTCCAGCTTCTGATAAAGTTTTACTATAATAGTTAATAAATATTTACCACTGAATTTATATAGAAACAAAGTGGAAATCCATTAAGTTTTCAAGTCTTTCTTAGAATGCAAGAAAACCTTCACACTTACTTCTACAGACCCTACATGTGTAGCAACCATCTCTAAAAGACGTTGTAAATTATTTCCCACTTTGCGTCTTTCTTCAGTTGTGGTCTGTACAACTAGTTGGTACCTGCAGAAGAAAAACTCTTGTTTAAGAAGTCTGTAACGTATATTAACAAATCAGTTAGCTTACTTCCTATTTCTATAGTCAATAAAACCAAGCTGTAACTGGTGTAAATGCTGTTTGCTACAGAGAGTCCAGCAACCAATCATTTAAAGAGAAATAAAAGCATTTTTAAAGATTCTTCATAAGCAATAAAACAAAATAGCAAGCATAAAAACCTCAAGCTTCTACATAAACTGGCTTGGATTAACACCTACCTCCCTACCTACTGCCTCACTCCTACCCCACATTATAACTGGGGAATGATTCCAGGGCTGGCCTGGCTATGGTGCCCCTATCTGTGCTTACTTGTGTTGCTGGGACAATAGCTGTATGCCCCGTGCCCAGCCATTTCAGGTATTTGAATTGATTTAAAAAACAGTCCTTACTTACAGAAGTTTTAAGTAAAATGGAAACAGACATATAAATCTTGGTAGGTGAACTTACTCCCTCTGAACAGCATCTAACTCGTTTATAGCTTCACTGAGTCCCTCATTAACAGCACTCTCCAGCAGGTGCTTGTGTTTCTCCAAGGATTCAAGTTCATTAGCACATTTTTCATCCTCTTCCTCTGCTTCCTACCAGGATAAAATCATGGTTATAGATCTCTATTTCTTTGGTATTTATATCCACATAGTAAAGCTAGATTAAAAATTAAGTAAAGCTCTTAGGGAAACATCAGGCTGCAATATTTGTATCTTCAGGATGTTTACTGTTTAACACATAGGAGATTTGAAAGTGTTCCATTGGGAATTTTATACTAGCAACACAAACATGACCTTTTACAAGAGGGCTGTAGAGCATTCATTCAGCAACATCTTCATGTGTGACTTACAAAATTTTTTGATTCTCTTTCCCCACTATTGTTTGGCAATACTGGGGATTGAACTCAGGGTTTGGGCTTGCTAGGGAAGTGCTTCACTATTTGAGCCATGTCTCTAGTCCAAATTTTGATACTTTGATTAAAAATTTTCCATGAACATAAATTAGCTAGGTCATTATTTCATAGTAGTATCAATTGCATACAGGAAAAGTATATATTCTAAAGTCAATTTCTAGGTTTCTGAAGGTGAGGTTAGTAGCTTAGATTTTCCTATTAGTGTTGCAGAGAATAAACTCAAACAATGGGGTTGAAGGGATATGAATCAAGTTGTAAGAGGACCTGCTTAGCCAGTACTACAAAAGGAAAGAGAAAAAAAGAGAAAAGATTACACATTTCACATGTCGGTTTTTTATTGGCTGGATGGGTTTCAAACATTTTTTTTTTTTTGGGTCCGGTTGTGGGTCCTGAACTCTGGCCTGGGCGCTGTCCCTCAGCTCTTCAGCTCAAGGCTAGCGTTCTACCACTTGAACCACAGCACCACTTCCGGCTTTTTTCTTTTTGCTTATGTGGTGCTGAGGAATCGAACCCAGGGCCTCAGGCATGCAAGGCAAGCACTCTACCACTGAGCCATCTTCCCAGCCCCTCAAACATTTTTTATTTGAACTGCTCCTCGAAACACTATCTCCCCCATGTTAGTCTTCTAAGTAGCTAGGATTACAAGTGTTAGCCTCTATAGCTGGCTTTTCTTTTCTTTTTTTTATTTAAAGATAGGGTAAATACATGCTTAATCAATCAATGATGATAGAACTTTGACTAACCTGAACAAACTATGAAAGTTCTCACCTTAACTTTTTGTTGATAAAGATCATCCAGCTTTTGAACTTCTTCTTTTAGAGTCCTCACACTTCTTTTGCTTTCTGTTTTCATTGTATTCAACTTGGGAAATAAAACTTTGGTTGAGCCATTAAATAATTTTTAACAAGTTATTTAACTATGCTATAATGTATATATCATATGTAAAAGATAGGCTGAAATAATTACACATTTATTTATTTATTGCCAGTACTGGGGCTTGAACTCAGGACCTGGGCACTGTCCCTGAGCTGCTTTTGCTCAAGGCTAGCACTCTACCACTTGAGCCACAGTACCACTTTCAGCTTTTTCTGTTTATGTGATACTGAGGAATTGAACCCAGGACTTCATGCATGCTAGACAAGCACTCTACCACTAAGCCACATTCTAAGCCCCAATAATTACACTTTTAATATTAAGATACTTGCATATGCTTCTCATTTAATCATGATAAATCTCTTCTACAGGACACTCATTTCCTCCTTTATAAGTAAGAGAATGGACTGGAAAGAATGTTGTTTACTTAGGCTGTATCAGTAGCACTCAAAGCTAGGTATTCTAACTCTGATGACATTTTTTAAAAGTAAATATACTAACACAGTGTGTTTCACCATAATCACTTGCAATAAATAACAGATATTTAAGTATCCATAATTTATCTCAAGATTTGTTAGCACCATGTTTACCCATCGCAGAGCAGCTTTCATGCCTGCTTTACTAAAGGTGCAATTACTTAAAACATTTTTTATTTGGCTCAGTGGCAAAATGCTTGCCTCGCATGTATGAGGCCCTGGGTTTGATTCCTCAGTACCACATAAGCAGAAAAAAGCTGGAAGTAGAGCTGTGGCTCAAGTGGTAGGGAGCTAGCCTTGAGCTGAAGAGCTGAGGGACAGCGCCCAGGCCCAGAGTTCAGGCCCCACGACTGACAAAAAAAAAAAACCAACAACAAAAACAAAAAACCACAAAATAACTAAAAACAAAAAACCCCCACAAAACAAAAACAAAAAAACCCACATTTGCACTGCAGTAAATTGGAGAAAAATTTCAAACAATTTCAACAATTTTTCACTTCCAAATTAATAATTTTGTTATTGTTTTTCATACTTACCGGAATGTTTCTCATTTAATCACTCAAGGGGCCTGAATCTGTCTATAACAGATACTGTAATTACTTTGATGACTGCTGTCTCTTTTATCACTGAGAAAGCCACCCAGATAGAATTCCATCACTTCTGGCTTCTAAGCAAGCAACACATTTGTAAGATCTTTCCTTCTTTCTTCTGTTGGTTGCAGGATAGAGAATATTCATTTTCTTCCTAATGAGTAGAAGCCCCCTTGCTCTTCAATAGATTCCATGCCTTCCTATCTCTTCAAGGATTACATTCAAATCTGTCAGTCTCTTATTCTAAATTATTTAACTTTACCTTCTTTCCTTGTTTATTTTATTTGAGACAGGATTTTGTTATGAAGCTAGCATTTATCCTGTCTCAGCCTCCCAAGTGCTGGGAATACAGGCATTTACCACCCTCACCATGCCCAGCATACCCTCTCTTTCTTATAGGCTTTACACATCATTTAAAAACCAAGCCTCACTGGGTGCTGTTGGCTCACACACCTGTAATCCTAGTTACTCAGGAGGCTGAGATCTGAGGATAGAGTCTCAAAGCCAGCCCAGGCGGGAAAGTCCCTGAGACTCTTATCTCCAAGGAACCATCAGAAAAACCAAAAGTGGCGTTGTGGCTCAATGGTAGAGCACTAGCCTTGAGCTCAAGAGCTCAGGGACAATGCCCAATCCCAAAGTTCATGCCCCAGGACTGACACACAAGAAAAACAAACAAACAAACAGACAAACAAAAACCCCCCAAATTAAAAAAAAAAGCCTCTTTCTGGACAAAAACCAAATCATCCTTCCCCCATCTTCCTTTTTTTCTTCTAGTGTTCTGAATCCTTTCTTCAGATACAAATAGTGATTGTCTAATTTGGCATAGTCATAGAAGAATAGTTTATACATCATCACGTCTCCTTTTCTACCAACAAAATTTCAAATGGGAAAGGTTTGTGTCACCAGCAACAAAAGTACTCCTCTCTCACCCCCTGAACTTAAGACCTAGGGAATGCCAAACATAGACCCTGTATCTCTTAGCTACATCCAGGCCCTCCTGTTACATCTTAATTGCCAAAGCTAATGAGTACCTTTCAGATTTAATATTACATTTGTGGAACTTTTGTGAATGTTAATCACTCCCTGTCTAATCTCCTGATTTCTTTTTCTTTGGTTGGTCGTGGGTCTTTTAGTCTGGACCTGGGCACTGTCCTTGAGATCTTCTGCAGAAAGTGAGCACTGTACCACTTGAGCCACAGTGCCACTTCTGGTCTTCTGGCCATTAATTTGAGATAATAGTCCTGCCCACTTTCCTGTCCAGGATGGTTTTGAACCAGATCCTCAGATTTCAGCCTCCTGATTTGATAGGATTACAGGCGTGAGCCACTGACACTCAGCTCTTCTTTAAAGCTTGAGAGATTCCTTTTAATTATCTGGTAGGCCTCCTTCTCTGCTTGTATTCTTATAGGTTTCTTTCTCTGGGGAGGTTCCCCCAGAGGGCTCTAATCCTTTCTTTAGTTTCACTTGCTCAATTTGGAACGCTGCCTTCATCACACCTGGGAAATCTCTTTTTGGTGCCAGTTGCTTCCCTGAGCTTTTTTGGTCAAGGCTAGTACTCTACCACTTAAGCCACAGCTTCACTTCTAGTTTTTTTGGTAATTCAATGGAGATATAAGTCTCACAAATACTCCTGGCCTAAGCTGGCATCGAACCATGATCATCAGATCTCAGACCCTTGAGTAGCTCAGATTACTGCCCTGAGATCTCTTGATAGTCCAAAGACCTGCTTTCAGAATATTCCATTGTGAAATTCCTGCCGGCTACCTTTTTTTTTGGGTCCGGTCGTGGGGCCTGAACTCTGGGCCTGGGTGCTGTCCCTCAGCTCTTCAGCGCAAGGCTAGTGCTCTACCACTTGAGCCACAGCGCCACTTCCGGCTTTTTTTCTTTTTGCTTATGTGGTGCTGAGGAATCGAACCCAAGACCTCATGAATGCAAGGCAAGTGCTCTACCACTGAGCCACCTTCCCAGCCCCAACTACCCTAACTTTTTGAGGTACAGTCTTACTCTGTAGCCCAGACTGGCTTTGAACTCAAGATCCTCTTGCCTCCTTTTCCCCACTGGTGGGATTATAGACACATCTTATAAGCCTCATGAATTTAATGAAATTCTCTTTTTTGTATCTATCTCTTGTGCTCTTTATCAAGAAGAACATTGCCACACACTTTTCTGTCAGATTTGACACCTTGATGTGCTTCATTTCTCCCTGCATACAAATAAATTGCTAAATTCTGTTGTTTCTATTTTCCAATTCTCACTGTAACAACCTTTATTCAGGTCATTATTATTTTCTGCATAGGCTATTATTTCATGTCTTAATTGCTTGTTGTTAGTCATGGGTTTCTAATCTATTCTTCCCAAAATACATTCTTAAAAATCTTCAATGGGAGCTTGGTGCCAGTGGCTCATACCTGTAATCCTAGCTACTAACCAAAAAAAAAAAGAAAAAAAAATTCAGTAGGAATGAGGAGAGGGATGGATGACCTGCAGATCCCTATCAGGCTGGCAGAGGGTGTGGACCATGTTGAGCAGCGCATGCCCCACACTGGCCTCAGTCCCAAGGTGCCTACATGCCACTGGATTGTGGCCTACAGCAGATAAAGGCCAGAGGTCTAAGGGCTGCTCCATATCTTTGACCCAGGTCTGCTGGAGTTCCCGGTGTTCCCCCCCCTTCAAAAAACTGATCTGATATGAAACATTAACAAATGAATTGATTAATGAAGACTTGGGAACAGCCCATCCAACTACTGATGGAGGACTGGGAAGGTGGCTCAGTGGTAGAGCACTTGCCTTGCATGCATGAGGCCCTGGGTTCAATTCCTCAGCACCACATAAGCAAAAAGAAAAAAGCCAGAAGTGGTGCTGTGGCTCAAGTGGTAGAGCGCTAGCCTTGAGCTGAAGAGCTGAGGGACAGTGCCCAGGCCCAGAGTTCAGGCCCCACGGCCGGACCCAAAAAAACAAAAAAAACAACACCAACTACTGATGGTATTCCTAATACGATACTCCAGGCAGCCACAAGAAAAAAAGAAATGGAATAGCACTAGACCAGAATTTAAAACACCACCATATATATATATATATATATATATTTATATATGTATAATTACATGTTCCGAATACCATATACCTTTTGAAACAGGGTGTTGGAGGCTTAGGTGAGGAGAATGTTTGTGTCTTTGCTCACCTTGATTATTTGCCTTCTACTAATCTCTTTAGCAGGACTATTCTGCCCTATGTCTGTGAAAGATGACTTCCCTCAGGGTTGCAACAACACTACCAGCCTCTGCTTTTACAGTCTGCTCTTGACCATCACCATAGCAGTCTACATGTTCCTCTTTGGGATCTAGACGGGCATTAAATTCTTTGGCATAATTAGTGTAACCAGACAGGATGGTAGACATATTAATGATGTCCTACGTGTGTAGCCCTGAAAATGCAACTGAATGGAAATATTTGATGTCTATTTGGTTTGAAAGAAATCCGCTTTGCCTCATGTCTCTCAGGCTTATGTCTCTGGGGGGCTTAGGCTTCAGCTTCTTTGGGCTTTAGTTCTGCCCTCATTGTTTTTGGAAGTTTCTAACTTAATTGTTGAATACAGAAACATTTCAGGAAAATGTCCTGATGGAGAGGAGCACCACCATTCATTATCTAAGTATTAAAATAAAAGTTAGTCCCTTGGAGTTTTATGTGTTTAACTTCAAGGTACATGGTAAAGTCACATGTTAAGATGACTCAGATGATCCCAGAGCATAGCTGTAGTGAAATACATTATAACCAATGGGACATAAAACTGTCTTAAGTTGGGCTGGACATGGGTGGCTCACGCTTGTAATCCTAGCTACTTAGGAGGCTGAAATCTGATGATCATGGTTCAAAGCCAGCCCCGGCAGGAAAGTCTGTGAGACTCTTACCTCCAATTAACCACCAGAAAACCGGAAGTGGCACTGTGGCTAAGTGGTAGAGCGCTCACCTTGAGCTGAAGAGATGAGGGACAGGGCCCAGACAGAGTTCAGCCTACGACCAAAACAACAACAACAATAACAACAAAAAACCCCACCAAAAAACAAAAACAACAAACAAACAAACAACATTGTCTAAATTGGAAACTGGAAAGTTCATGAATTTACAGAAAATCTGAGTTTGTAAAACTTATGTTTCTTAGGTATCAAATGCTCATATTACAAATAATAAGATGCTGACTATTTCCCACAAAAATAATGCAGTGGGTCCTCACTGATTAGAGAATAAAAATCTCCTCTCAGCTCAACTACTATTTTCCTGACAAATAATCCTGTGCTCAGCCTACAGCTGAAGAGCTGAGGGACAGCACCCAGGCCCAGAGTTCAGGCCCCATGACTGACAAAAAACAAAACAAAACAAAACATCAACAACAACAAAAAGTTCTGATAGAAGAAAAATTGTTCTCATTCCATTCCATTTCATTAAGTTCAAAAGTGTAGAACACTATTAGTATCACCAACATCTATTAAAGGCATTCAAATATTTGCTAAATAAGTATCAGTAGCAAATATTTAACTTTAACTTTACATTATATATTCATAAGTATTGACTGATAACACCTCATGAAAATTATCTGACCTTCAATATTTCAAAACACTGACTTACTTGTAAAATCAAGTTATTGGAGTCTCTTTTGAAGACTTTTTTTTTGTAACTTTTCTTTCTGGTTATATAATTTGACTTTTTATTTTATATCTCTATTAAGATTTCTGCTGTTCCAAGTTATAATCCATTTTGTCATTTTTTTTTGGAAGGAACCTCTGCTCATCCCTCTACTACCAATGCTATACAAAATGCAATGGCGTAGTAAAACTTTATTTATTTATTTATACTGGTCCTGGGATTTTGCTCCTGAGCCTCTGTGTTCAAGTCTAGTACTCTACCACTTGAGCCACAGCGTCATGTCTGGCTTTTTCTGAGTAGTTTATTGGAGATACAAGTCTCATGGACTTTCCTGCCTGGGCTGGCTTTGAACTGTGATCCTCAGATCCCAGCTTCCTGAGTAGCTAGGATTACAGGTATGAGTATCTGGTGCCTAGCTTAAAATTTTTATTTTAAAAGTTAAAAAGAGGAAGTGTTGCTATGGTTCAAGTGGTAGAGTGTTAGCCTTGAGAGGTCAAGCCCTACAACTAAAAAAAAAAAAAAAAAAAAAAAGTTAAAAAAGATTTTAAATGGTCGGGCATGGTGACTCATGCCTCTAATCGTAGCTACTCAGAAGGCAGAGATCTAAGGATTGCAGTCCAAAGCCAGCCCAGGTAGGAAAGACCATGAGACTCTTATCTCCAATAAACCACCAGAAAACCAGAAACGGAGCTGCGGCTCAAGTGGTAGAGCACTTGCCTTGAGCTGAAGAGCTCAGGGACAGCACCCAGGCAGAGTTAAAACCTCACGACTGAAAAAAAAAAGATTTTAAGTATGACTTTAATTTAAAAATTTTATTAAACTTTTATTATATGTTACTTTTTCTGAGACAGAGCCTTGCTATAGCCTAAGCTGGCCTTAAACTAGCAATCATCCTGCTGTCCCTCCTGAGTGGTAGAATTACAAGCACTCACTATTCATCCTGGCTTGCATTTTTTGAGGAATGGAAAAGTTCTTTCTCATACAAAGTATTGTTTTTCTGTATGTTCCTAGGATAATTATTTGTGGAATATTGTAGATTTTGTTTCCTGTTGAGAAAAATTAAGGAAGTTTCTATTCCTAGAAAAGACAGAATTTTCATTTTCTTTTTTTTTTTTTCTTTTTTGCTTATGTGGTGCTGAGGAATCGAACCCAGGGCCTCATGCATGCAAGGCAAACGCTCTACCACTGAGCCACCTTCCCAGCCCAGAATTTTCATTTTCTATACTAAAATTTTAGCCAGAGCATTTTGGAAGTGATAAATTAACTAGAGTCCTCCTTTAATTGTTTGATGTTATATAAACCACAGTTTGAGTACATTTGAGAGATAGTATCTTAACTTTTCTTAGTTATTATAATAAATTTTACTTTTGTGTCAGTCATGGGCTTGAACTCTGGGCCTAAGTGCTGGCTCTGAATTTTTTTTTTTTCCGGTCGGTCATGGGGCTTGAACTCTGGGCTTGGGCGATGTTCCTGGGCTCTTCAGCTCAAGGCGAGCTCTTAAGCCACAGCGCCACTTCCGGTTTTCTAGTGGTTTATTGGAGATAACAGTCTCACAGACTTTCCTGCTCGGGATGGCTTTGAACCATGATCCTCAGATCTCAGCTTTCTGAGTAGCTAGGATTACAGGTGTGAGCCACCAGCGCCTGGCTTGGCTCAGATTTTTTTTTTGCTCAGGGCTAGCGCTCTACACCATTGAAGTCACAGCTCTACTTTCAGCTTTTTGGTGGTTAATTGGAGATAAAAGTATCACAGACTTCTCTGCCTAGGCTGGCTTTGAACTGCAACCCTCAGATCTCAAATTCCTGAGTAGCTAAAATTACAGGCATGACCCATTGGCGCCTGGCTAATATTTACTTTAAAGGTTATTGGATTTAATACCAGCATCCTTCAGGGATACAGGTTTTATGATATCTCAAGGAACTCTGAAACAAGAATCTTCTGAAAATTACTTTTAGAGTGGACTTCCAGAGTGAATGGAAAGGGGTGAAAGAAGTACTTTATATGCATGTATCAAAATAAAAATAATAAAGCCCATTAAAAATTGCTTAAAAGACTAAGAGGGTTCATAAGGAATACCAGGGATGAATAAAAGTACCGTATTGCATATGTGAAACTATCACAATAATCAAAAAGATGAAAAAGAAAAAAGAAACAAATAATAACCCCCCCAACCATTCATATAAATGAAAAAATGGACTTTAGTAGCCATTTGAGTTTTCTTGAAATTGAATTGTTCAGAATAAAAAACTTGATGTAAAAAACTTAGTATATCAGCTAGTTACTTCTAACCACAAATATAAATAACTACTTGTAAGGTAGTTATCTCACACTTATTTATTTTTATTTAATAATGTTTTCGGTGGTATTGGGATTTGAGTGGGCTGCTGTGCTTGCTAGGCAAATGCTTTATCACTTGATCCACACTTTAGCATTCAATTATGTCAAGTTCAAGAGACAATTATTATACATAAAAAAGGAAATGTTAGTATTATAGCATTTCATCATAGTAACATGTAAAGCCTAGATTTAATTCTTTGATAAAGTACTTCAAATTATTTCTGTTGTTTATATTCAGCATTTTCTTTATCACATTTTACTAACATTAATTCCTTAACAATTAGGTTTTGCAAACATGTTTAACTTTAGGTTTAATTTTACCTTTGCTTTTTTTGTTTTTTTGGTCGGTCATGGGGCCTCAACTCTGGGCCTGGGTACTGTCCTTCAGCTTTTCAGCTCAAGGCTAGCACTCTACCCCTGGAGCCACAGCACCACTTCCCGCTTTTTTCCCCTGCTTATGTGGTTCTGAGGAATCAAACCCAGGTCTTCATGCATGCGAGGCAAGCACTCTACCACTGAGCCACCTTCCCAGCCCCCTTTACCTTTGCTTTTAATCACTGTTTTATTACTTACTTGTTCTAATGTATCCTCCAAACCTATTTTTTTATTTAGAGCTTTATTAATCTCTTCTTCATTTTCATTCAGGAGTTCCTTTAGAGGTGCCTATAAAGTACATAGAAATGTAGGTGATATATGATGTTTAATTACAAAATTTGTCTACTGAGGAGGTATTCTCACATAGTGATACAAGTCAGTTTTGGGAATAAAAGCAAAGCCATGACATTTAAAAACTTGATATGTTATTGATAATAGTTTATTAAAAAAATGTTTTGCCGAGCGCTGGTGGCTCATGCTTGTAATCCTAGCTACTCAGGAGGCTGAGATCTGAGGATTGCGGTTCAAAGCCAGCTGGGGCAGGAGAGACTGTGAGACTCCTATCTCCAATAAACCACCAGAAAATCGGAAGTGGAGCTGTAGCTCAAGTGGTAGAGCGCTCGCCTTGAGCTGAAGAGCTGAGAGACAGCACCCAGGCCCAGAGTTCAAGCCCCATGACCGACAAAAAAAAAAAAAAAGACTCTAAAAGTATTTCGGGGCTGTGAAGGTGGCTCAGTGGTAGAGCGCATACCTTGCATGCCAGAGGCCTTGGGTTCGATTTCTCAGCACCACATAAGCAAAAAGAAAAAAACCGGAAGTGGCGCTGTGGCTCAAGTGGTAGAGCGCTAGCCTTGAGCTGAAATGCTGAGAGACAGCGCCCAGGCCCAGAGTTCAGGCCCCATGACCGGACCCCCCCCCCAAAAAAAAAAAATGTTTCCTAGGACTGAACTCAAGGCCTTGTGCTTGCAAATCTGGCCCTGTACTATTTGAGCCTTCAGGCCCTTTTTCTACTGGTTATTTTCAAGGTAGGGCCCCAGACTTTATGCTCAAGCTAGGGTGGGCTATCTACTGCCAAAAAGAAGGAAAAGAAAAGAGGTTCCGTGTTTCATTTCTTTGTTTAGTCTGGAGTAATGGACATAGTGAAGTTTGGATGTTTACAGATACTAATAGTTTAATTTACTTACGTAAACTTGAGCTCTGTATTTAACAAGGCAGTTGGCACCAGCTTCAGGATTAAATTTAATTTCAAAGTCATAACCTCTGGAATTCTCAGCACCTTTAGGGATAAGTTTTAATTTTCTGGCCAATTTGTGATACTCTGCTAACTGTGTTTCAATCTGGTAAGGAGAGAATACAAAAAGATATGTTAAAAATAATACATTTATTAAAAATAACCCATTCAATGTGATTTTCAGTTAGCATTTCTGCAATTTTATATAAAATTTTATGCTTATTTAATCTTCTGTATAGTCTAATTGTAAATGTTAACTATCTTACCACAATTATTAAATTAAAAAAATTAAATTGAAAAAATTTCAAAGACTTCAAGAAATCATTTGTTATAGTACAACACTGACTGTCCTATATTTAACATGTTTTAATAGAAGCAGGTTTTTCTTTTCTTCTCTACTACTTCCATTTCCCTCCCTCCCTCCCTTCCTTCTTTTCTTTCTTTCCAGTACTGTGGTTTGAACACTGGGCCTGGTATGTGCTAGGCCATTCCTTTACCATTGTGTTATGCTCCTAGCTCTTTTTTCTTTTTAATTTAATGAAAATAGCTCATGCACTTTATGTGCCTAACTGCAGGGAGGGCAGACATATGACAGATGTGTCTTTTTTTTTTTTTTTTGGCTGTTGTGGGGCTTGAACTCTGGGCCTGGGTGCTGTCCTTGCACTCTTCAGCTCAAGGCGAGCGCTCTACTGCCTGAGCCACAGTGCCACTTCCGGTTTTCTAGTGATTTATTGGAGATAAGAGTCTCACGGACTTTCCTGCCCGAGCTGGCTTTGAACCGTGATCCTCAGATTTCAGCCTCCTGAGTAGCTAGGATTACAGGCGTGAGCCACCGGTGCCCGGCCCTGACAGATGTCTCTAGATTTTTCTTTCCAGTTAACACAGTCAAACTTATCACATTAGTCCCCTATGAACTGAGATGTAGTTCAATGTCTAGATGGTTACTACCAAGTTCACATATGAATGTAAATTAATTAATCCAGAAACAAAGACGACAGATGACATGTTCAATAAAAAAATGACTCAAATGAACACTTATGTCCAGTTGCCATTCTTTCACCCTTTTCTTAGCCAACTCGCAGGCAACCTAAGCTGTCTTCATACTGTCTATGACCCTGCTCTCACCCATCTCCAGGCCGCTGTCTCTCTGCTGGCCAGATTTTTTTTTTTCGGTTGTGGGTCTTGAACTCTGGGCTGGGCGCTGTTCTTGAGCTCTTCAGCTCAAGGCTAGTGTTTTTACTACTTGAGCCATGACACTACTACAGGCTTTTTCTATTTTTATGTGGTACTGAGGAATCAAACACAGGGCCTTATGCATGCGAGGCAAGTACTCTCCTACTGAGCCACCTTCCCGGCCGCTGGCCAGATTTTTAAATTCTTACAGTATAATTAATACTTTAGGATGACTAATTTTATCTATCTATCTATCTATCTATCTATCTATCTATCTATCTATCTATCTATCTATCTATCTATCTATCTAATCTATCTATCTCTTTCTCACATAGTGTTTAGCAGACAAGGTATCCTGAAATAATTTCAGACTCATCAATTTAGTTAAACTATACTTCATTTCCTAAAGGAGGGCATGGTGGATATGAGATAGGATGGCATGCTAAGATGCAAAGTGGGTAGTAGCAAATCCAGGACTAAAACTCAGGGTTATCAGATTCTAGAATCAAAGATTTTGGGCTTACCACCATTGTCTATTTCTTACCTTGAATACTCTCAGTATGGCTCTATCACTGAGCTATGTACTCCTATAAATGTATAGTTTTTTCCTTCCTTGATACATGGGGACAGAGCTTACCCAGAAAAGAAGAAGAATGTAGATAGCTAAGGTAAAAGACACATTATAGCCAAACACGGCAAGGAAAGGAGGTAATGTTTACTGCTTATACTGAACATGTTTCATATTATCAGCTATGTATATGAGGACTAGCAGAAGAGGTTGGGCTGGCATGGAAAACAAAGGAGTGAATGCTGTCACGATAGATTATCTGCAACTATGAAAACAGAACAAGCAAATCTGTTGGGCATGTAATTTTTTGGGGTAGGGGAGTAAGGAGTACCATGATCAAAGGGTGAGATTGACTGGAATACAGGTAAACATATGTGGAGATATAACAATGGAATTCCTCTCCCCTGATATAACTACTATAAGTTAAAAGATAAATGCTTGCTAAACTTAAAGAGTCAGATATGTATGTATACTATAGGCTTTTAATAATATAAAATAGTTAAGCCCTGAATGATTAAAAAATTATTTTTGTATTATGGCTATAATATAGTTTATAATGATGTCAGAACAGAAAACTAGTATTACCTTCTTAGGCTAACACTGTTGCTGTAGAATTTTAATTATTTTAACAATGATAAATATATGTAATAACCACTGGGCTAGGAAAAAGTGCTGGAGGTAATAACAGAAAATCATTACTTTTGAGCAAAAGTTAGAGGCTAAATTTTTCTCAATTAAGTTTAGGTCTTAACAACTACATTTACCAGTAAACAAATGTTACAATTAAAAATACAAAGATGAAAAATTTACCTTAAAACTTAATCCTGAAATTTTCTTTTCTCTTTTTTTGGTCGGTTGTGAGAACCAAACTCTGGGCTTGGGCACTGTCCCTCAGCTCTTCAGCTCAAGGCTAGTGCTCTACCACTTGAGTCACAGTACCACTTCCGGCTTTTTCTGCTTATGTTTTGCTGAGGAATTGAACCCAGGGCCTCATGCATGCAAGGCCTGCACTCTACCACTGAGCCACCTTCCTAGCCTCAATCCTGAATTTTCTAATCTATGTTTTTTTAAAAGAAGTATTTTAAAAAATGACTTTTAAAATCACACTTTTTTTGGTACATGAACTTGAACTCAAGGGCCATGCATTCTTAGCTTTTTGTGCTCAAGGAAAGTACTCTACCACACCACTACATCTGGCTTTTTGTTGGTTAATTGGAGATCAGAGTCTCAAGGTTGAACTCTGGGCCTGGGCACTGTCCCTGAGCTCTTCAGCTCAAGGCAAGCACTCTACAGTGCCACTTCCTACCGTTCTCTTTTACTTTCCTTTATCCATTCATTTTTTTTTTTTTTTTTGGTTGGTCATGGGGCTTGAACTCTGGGCCTGGGTGCTATCCCTCAGCTCTTCAGCTCAAGGCGAGTGCTCTACCACTTGAGCTACAGCATTCCGGTTTTCTGGTGGTTTATTGGAGATAAGAGTTTCAAGGACTTTCCTGCCCAGGCTGGCTTTGAACCGTGATCCTCAGATCTCAGCCTCCTGAGTAGCTAGGATTATAGGCGTGATTCATTTTTTTGAGATATTATTATTATGTAGTCTAGGATGCCTTTTGAGTGCAGATATTTCAGTCATGTGGCACTGTGTGCTCTAGAAAAGTATAACTATGTGCCAGATAGGTACTTTTTCCTTTTTTTTTTTTGTCGGTTATGGGGCTTGAACTCTGGGCTTGGGTGCTATCCTTCAGCTCTTCAGCTCAAGGCAAGTGCTCTTCCGCTTGAGCCACATTGCTACTTCTGTTTTTTTTCTAATGGTTTATTGGAGATAAGAGTCTCATGGACTTTCCTGCCTGGGCTAGCTTTGAACAGTGATTCTCAGATCTCATCCTTCTGAGTAGCTAGGATTATAGACATGAGCCATCAGGGCCCAGACTTTTTTGTTTTTTAAAAAGCTGTGATGCTAGGGATCAAACCTGTGGTGGTAGGGAGCTTTGTGAATACACAGCAAATACATTGAACTATATTCCTAACCCTCTTTGTTCCCATTTAATAAGCTACATTTAAAAATATGAGTGAGGAGTATATACATATATTAAGGTACTAGTAGAGAATATCTATAAAAGACAAGAAAAGTGAGAATAAACTTCAATTGCCTGGAAATACATATGGTCAAAAAATGTGTTTTATCAACATTGTTGGCTAACAAGTTAAAGTACTTTCTATAAATAAAATTACATTTAATAATTTGGTTCTTCGTGTTTTTTTTTCTTTCATGGAACTGGGGTTTGGAGTCAGGGCCTTGTATTTGCTAAGCAGACCACTCTACTAGTTGAGCCACATTGCCAGCCATCTGTTTTCATTATTTTATTTGCTGGTCCTAGGGCTTGAACTCAGGGCTGGGATGCTGTTCATAAGTTTTTTTTTTGGGTCCGGTCATGGGGCCTGAACTCTAGGCCTGGGCGCTGTCCCTCAGCTCTTCAGCTCAAGGCTAGTGCTCTACCACTTGAGCCAGAGCACCACTTCCGGCTTTTTTCTTTTTGCTTATGTGGTGCTGAGGAATCGAACTCAGGGCATCTGGCATGCAAGGCATGTGCTCTACCACTGAGCCACCTTCCCAGCCCCGTGTTCATAAGTTTTTGTGCTCAGGGTAGTGCTTACACTTGAGCCATAGTGTCACTTCTGGCATTTTCTGAGTAGTTTATTGGAGATAAGAGTCTCATGGAATTTCCTGACTAGGCTGGCTCCTAACAGTGATCCTCAGATCTCAACTTCCTGAGTAACTGGGCTTACAGGTCTGAGCCACAGCATCTGGCTATTTTGTTTTTAAGCTTAAGTCTAGGTGCAAATCTACAGTAGTCTAGGGGCTGGGAAGGTGGCTCAGTGGTAGAGCGCTTGCCTTGCAATGCATAAGGCCCTGGGTTCGATTTCCTCAGCACCACATAAGCAAAAAGAAAAAAGCCGGAAGTGGCTCTGTGGCTCAAGTGGTAGCGTGCTAGCCTTGAGCTGAAAGAGCTGAGGGACAGCACCCAGGCCCAGAGTTCAGGCCCCAAGACCGGACCCAAAAAAAAAAAAATCTACAGTAGTCTAGTATGTTTTCTCTTGGATGCCCTATGATTACAATATATTCATTTCTGTTTCTGATTTCTTCCTTTTCTTTCATTCTTAGGTGAGTGTTACTCCTGGCCAACTTTCCTTCTATCTCATTTACTGTACCATAAAGCAGTCAGAATAGTTTTTAGAATCATCATTAGCAATACATACTTAAATCCATCTTATAGTTTCTCACTAGATTATTAACACTTAACATTCTATGCAACTATATCATTTCCTTCCAACATTTTTTCACATTGCCAAATACCATCTTTCTGAAATGTGATCACATCTGTTCATAAATTTTAGAAATTTTCACAATAAACCTGTAAACATGAAAAAGTTCTACTGTCTCATCTGTGCTAGTCTTTGGAGTCTCATTTCCTGCTGTATATGCTCAAGCCCTTATTATTAAGCTTCATGAAAGGATTACACATTAGGCTGTATACTCTAAGATTCCCCATATATTTCTTGTTTTTTTTTTGTTTCTGTTTTGCTAGTCCTTGTTCCCTTGCCATGCTAACTCTTCCTGTCCTTTCCAATTTAGTTCCAGGTTTTATCTCCTTAAGGAGGCTTTTTCTAAGAATGTATTCATTTCCACATGCCATGTTCACTAAATCTGGGTTAGGTATACTAGATGTTGTATGTAAATATCTATGATTATCTGTAGGGTAGAGGATACAAACAAGGTTGGAATTTTCCTGATAGGAAAGTCTGTCTTGTTATTCATATTTCCCATATATATGCAAAGTGGCACATTGTGGGTGTGACAAACATGTCTGAGTGGTGAAGAGATATAAGAGGAGAGGACCATTTCCTCTTTCAGAAAAGGAGATGGGGTTTGTGAAAATTATTTTGATGGCCTTTTTTTTTTTTTTGCTTATTTTTTAGTTTATTGTTATAAATTGCAATCTACCTTTTGCTTGAGAGAAACTGGGGTGTTACTGAATTGGCATAAAGGGATCAGTTTGTTTTAGTCATGCTATATGACAATGCTAACAGGCTATATAAACTTTAGAATTTATTGTATATCCTGAATTCTTGGTTGGAATACACCTTTACAAAGTTCAGCTCTGATGTACTGCCCTTCTCGAAATGGTACGACTTACTGTCTCTTTGCCCCTGGCATATTTTAGCTCCTCATTCCATAATTGCTGTTGTTCAGCCTCTAGCTCTTTGGTCAATTTATTAATGGTCTGCTGCAGTTCATTTTTTTCATGATTTATTCTCTCGATGTCAGCAACTGAGTACTTTTGGTTATCAACAATATTCTGTAGTCGAGCATTCTCCTGCTTTATTGCTTCACATTCTAGTTCTGTAATGGAAAAAGCAGATTTTATTTTCTTCTGTTTCTACAAAGAAACTAATGTCATTATTTAATAAAGTTAATATCTAAATACTCATATTACACCTATTTTTGGGGTAGGGAATAATCCTGCTTGATGCAATTTTGCTAATATTCTTTTTTTTTTTTTTTTGGTCGGTCATGGGGCTTGAACTCTGGGCCTGGGCGCTGTCCCTCAGCTCTTCAGCTCAAGGCGAGCGCTCTACCACTTGAGCTACAGCACCACTTCCGGTTTTCTGGTTTATTGGAGATAGGAGTCTCACGGTCTCTCCTGCCTGGGCTGGCTTTGAACTGCGATCCTCAGATCTCAGCCTCCTGAGTAGCTAGGATTACAGGCGTGAGCCACCAGCGCCCCGATAATTTTGCTAATATTCTTGAAGATAATACTTATGTATTAGCCTACTATGGTTTTCAGAAAACATTATATGAAAAAAAATGATTCCCATTTGTATTGATTGCAATTAAGAATCCTGATATTCAAGGACAAGCTGGGTGCTGGTGGCTCATGCCTGTAATCCTAACTACTCAGGATCACAGTTCAGTCAACCCAGGAAAGTCAGTGAGACTCTCTCTCTCTCTCTCTCTTGCCAGTCCTGGGCTTCAACTCAGGGCCTAGGCACTGTCATTGAGCTTCTATTTTGCTCAAGGCTAGCACCCTACCACTTGAGCCACAGCACTACTTCAAGCCTTTTCTGTTTATGTGGTGCTGAGGAATGAATCCAGGGCTTCATGCATGCAAGGCAAGCACTCTACCACTAAGCCACATTCCCAGCCCACTGAGACTCTTTTTTTTTGGGTGGGATCATCAGTCATGGAGCTTGAACTCTGGGCCTGCTCTTCAGCAAAAAGCTAGCGCTCCACCACTTTAGCCACAGCACCCAATTTCAGTTTTCTGGTGGTTAAATGGAGGTAAGAGTCTTTCAGACTTTTCTTCCTGGGCTAGCTTTGAACCGCGATCCTCAGATCTCAGCTTCCTGAGTAGCAAGAATTATACGCGTGAGTCACTGGTGCCTGGCTTCATGAGACTCTTATCTCCAACTAACCAGAACACTGAAACTGGTACTGTGTCTCATCAAAGTGGCAGAATGCTAGCCTTGAGCAAAAAGCTCAGGGATAATGCCTATGCCCTGAGTTCAAGCCCCACAACTAACAACAACAAAAAAAGGGACAGATATTAATTTTATTTATTTAAGTGTTTTCTTTTAAATATTCCTATATGATTTTCTGAGTAATTCAGAATTATAGGTTTCCATAACATAAAAATATTAAAATAAACCAGTTTTTTTTTGGGGGGTGGGGGTCTGGTCGTAGGGCCTGAACTCTGGGCCTGGGCGCTGTCCCTTAGCTCTTCAGCTCAAGGCTAGCTCTACTACTTGAGCCACAGCACCACTTCCGGCTTTTTTCTTTTTGCTTATGTGTTGCTGAGGAATTGAACCCAGGGCCTCATGCATGCAAGGCAAGCGCTCTACCACTGAGCCACCTTCCCAGCTCCAATAAACCAATTTTTAGTGGTTAACTGTACTGGCTAGTGTCTTGCTGTGTCTATTTATCAAATGTGTTTTTCCAATTCATGACTCATATAGAATATGATAGTACTTTTATAGTAGTTGGGATAAATGAATGAGGATGCCCAGTTGGGTAAAGAAAATCATCCTGAGTGCTAAGAGGATCATTATATTGGCTTTGACATACCCATTTGCAGAACAGTAATGGGAAAGCTTCACAGGTGAGCTTAAAATAAAAAATAAAGTTATAAGGTCCCAAATTCAATTCCAATCCCAAAGTATGGGAAAAAGAAAAAGAAAAGACAAAAGAATCAGTGGATTTAAGCAAAAAAAAAAAATTAGATATATTTATGTATCTGCACAAAAACTCACAGCATATACCTATAGTTACATTCTATCTTATTAATTCTTGGCTAAAATTACTTTAAATAATCAAGAAATTTAAAATACTCATAGAATCAAAACATACTTGTTTAACAGTTAAATATTACTCTACTCAGTTTGCAGCAAATTATTCATAAGAGTAAATAAGAAGCATGATATTTGTAAAAAAAAGATAAAGTACCAATGTCAAAAATACTGATTTTTGTTGTTTTTAATGTGATTTTTTGTTTCTTTTGCATTCCCCCCCACCTCCCGCTATGATTTATCCCCTGTTGTCACTGTATTTGATTTTGGTATGCTGGGTATTGTATATACATTTATCTAATTAGTGAAGGGAAGGGGAACAACAAAATGGTGAGACAAAGGGCAAAGGGTGAACCAATGCAACAGCAATACTCACAAGACACTATGTTGGAAATGATCTGTACAATTGAGGGGGGGCAAACTGGGGGGAGGGAAAGTGGGAGAAAAATGAGGGAGGGGGTAACAAGTTTGACAAGAAATGTACTCACTACGTTACTTATGTAACTGTAATCCCTCTGTACAATAAAATTTAAAAATATATTGATTTAATTACATTAGAAACAAAGTTAGAAATGAGCATGATACAGAACAAGCAAAGGACATGACAAGGGGCCAGGCTAAATGTGCAATATTTAAAGAGTTCCTTTACAGCAAATCACAAACATACATGTGAATCAGGCATGATAGTTCAACACTCTTATACTCCCAGCTACTGGGAGGCAGAGATCAAGAGGATTGGGGGTCAAGGCCAGCCTAGGTAAAAAGTTCACCAGACATTATTTTAATCAATAGTTGGGCATGGTAGCACATGACTGTCATTCCAGCTATGCAGGAGGCTGACAATGGGAGGATGAGGTCCAGGTTAGCCTATCTGAAAGACTTTATCTCAAAAACAAAAAGGGTTGGTGTCATAGCTCAAGTAGTAGAGTGTCTGCCTAGCAATTGAAAGCCCTGAGGTAAAATCCTAGTACTACAAACAGAAAACAAACCAGAATTCCCCAGCACTACATAAGCAAAAAGAAAAAAGCCGGAAGTGGTGCTCTGGCTCAAGTGGTAGAGCACTAGCCTTGAGCTGAAGAGCTGAGGGACAGCGCCCAGGCCCAGAGTTCAGGGCCCATGACTGGACCCCCTTGCCAAAAAAAAAAAAAAAAAAAAAAGAAAACCAGAAGAAAACAACATAAACCATAACAAACCTAATTTGGAAAGTACTCCAGGATAAGGATAGATGAGGAATACTAAAAAAAAACCTTAAGAGTTCAAGCAAACATTTTAAAGATCATCTACACATATCCTACAAGATAGACATAACCTATAAAAACCTAAAAGAATAAAACACAAACAGACTACAGGAAAATTGGATTTCTCAACTGTAGCCCAGTATCCTGTCATTTCAGACATGTCCCTTTGCTTCTTGAAGTTATACAGCAATCATATGTGCCACAACAATTTCCAGGGATGAAGAACTAAGACTGAGATGTGTTTAGTAAGACACAGGATGTAGGCACAGTTTCTTTTCTTTTTTCTTTTTTTTTTTTCCTGTTGGTTGTGGTGCTTGAACTCCAGGCCTGCGTGCTGTCCCTCAGCTCTTCAGCTCAAGGCTAGTGCCTGCCACTTTAGTCACAGTGCTACTTCTAGTTTTCCTGATGGTTTATTGGAGATAAGAGTCTCATGGAGTTTCCTGCCCCTGCTGGCTTTGAACTGCGATGCTCAAATCTCTGTCTTCTGAGTAGCCAGGATTAGAGGCATGAGCTACCAGTATCCAGTGGGCAGTTTCTTTAGTTGTGATTTGGTTGTAAAAAATGTAGTATTTAAGCCGGGCACTGGTGGCTCACGCCTGTAATCCTAGCTACTCAGGAGGCTGAAATCTGAGGATCACGGTTCAAAGCCTGCCCGGGCAGGAAAGACTGTGAGACTCCTATCTCCAATAAACCACCAGAAAAAAACCGGAAGTGGCGCTGTAGCTCAAGTGGTAGAGCGCTCACCTTGAGCTGAAGAGCTGAGGGACAGCACCCAGGCCCAGAGTTCAAGCCCCACAACCAACAAAAAAAAAAAAAAAAAAAAAGAAATGTAGTATTTAGGCTGCATACTGGTGTCTCCTATAGGTAATCTTATCTACTTAGCAGGCTGAGATCCAAGAATCTTAATTCAAAGGCAGCAGGGGCAGTAAGCCAAGAAACTCTTATCTTGAGCTAATCAGCAAAAAGCCAGAAGTGGAGGTGGTAGCTTGAGTGGTAGAGCATTGTCTTGAGTATAAAAGCTAATCAAAAGCAAGAAACTCTGAGGTTAAGCTCCAGTACTTACATACACGAAAAACTGTAGTACTTGTACTTTTTCATCTTATTTTCAGTTTATGTACATAGCTGCTTAGATGGTTAAGATATTGATAGCACACTGAGATAGGCAGAAATTAAGAATCTGGGGTTTTAATTACAAGTAGTCTGTATATTTATATAAAACATTTATGAGGAAGTGGCACTGTGGCTCAAGTGGTAGAGTGCTAGCTTTGAGCTGAAGAGCTGAGGGACAGTGCCCAGGCCCAGAGTTCAAGCCCTATGACCAAAAAAAAAAAAAAAAAAGGACATCGTTGGCTCATGCCTGTAGTCCTAGCTACTCAGGAGTCTGAGATCTGATGATTGCAGTTTGAAGCCAACTCAGGAAGAAAAGTCCCTGTGAGACTCTTATCTCTAATAAACTACTTGGAAAAAGCTGGAAATGGCACAGTGGCTCATGTGATAGAGCTCTAGCCTTGAACAAAAGCAGGTCAGCGACAACAGCGCCCAGTCCCTGATTTCAAGCCCCCAAACGAGCAAAAACAAAAATAAAAAAAATATAGAATATACTTATAGTGTTCTTAGGGTAGATCTCTGTGAGCCATGTACATGAAAACATGTTAGAAGGTATAGTAGGCTGAATAATGTTTACCCAAATACATGAAATCTGAAAGTCTAAAACTTACAAATATTACACTTAAAAAAATGTGTCTTTCAGATGTGATTAAGAATGCTGTGAGAAGATAACCCTAGACTGTTTAAGTGGGCCATAAACATCACCATAAGTGTCCTTGTAATGCAGAGGGAAAATTTAAATCCATAGAAAGGGGAAGCTAGTACTGTATAGTAGTACTCACTCTTAATCCCAATACCTGGGTGGCAGAAGCAGCAGGACTGAGTTTGGGGCCGTCTAGTCTAACAGCAAGTGAGGAGGGAAGGATAGGAAGAGGGAAAAAGAGAGACAGACACATACACAATGTGAAGATGGAGGCAGAGATTGGAGCAAGGTGAAATGCTATCAAGCACCAGAAGCTAAAAGAAGCAAATATTTCTCCTGAGTCCCTGGGGGAGTCTTGGATCTTGGACTTACAGAAGCTATAACTAAGAGAACAAATTTCTATTTTTTGAGCCACCAACTTCGTAATGAATTGTTATAGCATCCTCAGGAAACTAATACAGAAGGCAATGAAACTTACTTGGTAGCCTGCTATAGAAATTTATTACAGAAGGTAAAAAAAGTTATAGATAACACAGTTATTTGTACATGAAACAAAGGTACAAACATCCACATGTTAGTCGAAGTGATGGCTTTACAGCATTAGGTGCTTACCGACTCTAGCAATTTCTTCATCAAGACCACTTAATTTCTGGTCCAGAATGGCTGAGTGAGATTCCAAGTTGGACATATATGCCTGATATTTTTGAACATCTGCTTGTAAGGAAGTTTTCAGTTTCCTCAATGACTCTAGACGATTCTTTAAGAGAAAAGCTTATCAATTTATTCTCATCAATGATCCTTCCACATTTTATTTTAAAAGAAAGCAATAATCATTCAAAGTTATCTTAGAAAATGCAAAATTAGCAGTTTCTTTTCATTTTATTATTTTTTATTTTTAATGTATTATTATTTATTATTATTACCCAGATTTTCAAAATCAGCTTGCAAAGAAAACAAAACAAAACACAAAGGCCATAGTAAAAAACATATCTAATTAAAAAGATTTGTATTCTTGCGTAGATTGTAGAAAATATTTAGTCTATAGTATCTTTATATAAGCTATTTTATTACCATTCCTTTTTCAATAACTCCAAAACTCAGGGTTTTTCTGGTTGAGACAATAGTGTTCCCTAGAGGGACATACCTTGGGGACCTTGTTCAGAAGATACTTTTGGTCTTATGTAAATAGGTAGAAAACTTTCATCATATTCTGAGCACCATTAGTCCAAAACTGAGGGGCCACAAGGGAAAACACAGCTCTACAGATACCAAACATGTTTTCACTAGGAGGTCTATCTTACTTTAAAACAACAACAACAACAAACTTTTAGGAAGCTTACTGTTTTGGAGCATTTAAAAACTTTTAAAAAGACAGGCAGTACTCTCTATGGAGACCTGCGTCTAAAGAGCTGCTAAGTTAGTATGTAAGTATTTTTACTCACCGGCTCCTTCTCTCGTTCTTGTTCCAATCTTGCAATCTGTTCATTCAGTGCTTTGTTTTTTGCTGCTAATGATTCCAACTTGGAAGCATCCACATTATATAAATTCTCTGGAGACAAAATCCAAAAGCTTCATAAGCATCAGCCTACAACATTTTTCTCTATATTTTCACCATTGCTTGTTCCCTCAATTCCTTCTGATCTCTGCTCAAAATACTATTAATAAATACTATTCTATATAAAACAGCAAAATTCTCCCCTTGGCTCCATTGTACTTACTAGTTGCCTCTCACTGGCTGACTTTTCTTCAAAGAACCTTTTATCATTGGACGTGTGTGAGCTGGTCCTGGGGCTTGAATTTGGTCTAGGCATTGTCCCAGAGCTTTTTTGCTCAAGATTAGTGTTCTATCACTTGAGCTGCAGCTCCACTTTCAGCTTTTTGTAGTTAATTGGAGTTAAGAGTCTCATGAACTTTCCTACCCAGGGTGGCTTCTAACTGTGATCCTTAGATCCCAGCCTCCTGAGTAGGGAAGATTACCACTGGAGCCAGGCAGAGTCAAAGATTTTTTACTTCTCATTCCTTATTTGGTGCATAAATAGTGGCTGGTACATAGGTATACAATAAAAATTTGGTTGAATGAATGAGTGTATTCATGTTTTGGCATTTAACAGAAATATTAAATAGATCACTAAATGTTTTCTGAATTGTTTTTTTTTTTAAACAAAGCATTACTTATCTTGCCCTCTTTCTCATGTGTACAAGGTGAAACTATCTTAGTTATTCTTCAGAAAAATTAAGAGTAACATAAGAAGTGGCGCTGTGGCTCAAAATGGTAGAGCACTAGCGTTGAGTTCAAGAGCTCAGGCCCAGAGTTCAAGCCCCATAACCACCACCCCCACTAACAGAAGTAAGAATAACATAAGAGTAATGTTTTTCATACTCAGGAGAGCATAGGGGATACTATCTTTTTGCACCATGACTGATACCACTGACTTTGGAGGAGTGACTCACACATCTTACAATATTCTACCCACCTGTCTAATATTTATATATAATAATTTTATTAGTATAACAAACTACAAAATAATACCCTGGGTCATTTTAGAGTTAGCTGGCAAAAATTGAATGCCACTAAATAATATCTTATTTAAAATAATTTATTTGGAAATATAATGGCCTGAAATTTTTGAAAAAAGACCTGGGTCTTTTGGTGCTTTAATTTCTCACACAATAAAGCAAGGACACAACAGGGACACTGTCTCCCAAGAGAAATAACATTTGCTAATTATCTTCAATGCTCCCAGTACTGCAATTGGTATTTTATTCCACTGCCATCTCAACCAGTAAAGCTTTATCAGAGAGGTTGTTGTTAAGGTCATATAAAGGTGATGACTTAGGGCTGGAAAGCTGGCTCAGTGATAGAGTGCTTGCCTTGCATGCATGAGGCCCTGGGTTCAATTCCTCGGCACCACATAAGCAAAAAGAAAAAAACTGGAAGTGGCGCTGTAGCTCAAGTGGTAGAGCGCTAGCCTTGAGCTGAAGAGCTGAGGGATAGCGCCCAGGCCCACAGTTCAGCCACACGACTGGACCCCAAAAAACAAAAACAAACAAAAACAAAAAACAAAAACAAACAAAAACAAAAAACAAATGGTGATGACTTAGATCTGTCTCCAATACCAGCATTCTGTCTAACTATTGTTTCTACCAGAAAAACAACCAAGATGAAAATCTTTTAGTATGCGCAATGCATTCAATATTCAGAGTAGCTATTACAAACATCAGAAAGGCCACATAAGCTACCACTTTAAATGACTAAAGACAAGCACATTGGGACCAAGAATACTTACTCATCTTTGACTGTAACTCTGCATTCTTGTCTTCAAAGCTATCAGCACCAGTCATAAAACTCTCATAGCATTTTATGGTGTAGTCCAAAAACAACTGGTTAGGTTAAACAGATTTAAAAGAGACATGATTCTATATTTAGTTTGTTTCATTTTTTAAAAATGAAAATTAAATGAAAATGAAGGCAGGAATAGTGAATAATAAATAAATTCTTATGAATCAGAGACACAAATCTATACTATTAATTATGCCAGACAGACCTAACTCAGTCTATTTCTAAAATATGAATAATGGGGATAAAATAATTTAAATTTAGATACAAGTGATAACAGTAAATAAGCTACACTTCCAGAATTTGAGCTCAGACAAAGTTTATCAATGTGGTTCAACATAATATGCACAAACTTTAGAGAAATAATTTAAGAAATTGTTTATAAAAAATACATATGGGCCAGGCACTGGTGACTCACGCCTGTATTCCTAGCTTCTCAGGAGGTTGGATCTGAGGATCGCGGTTCAAAGCCAGCCCGGGCAGGAAAGACCGTGAGACTCCTATCTCCATTAAACCACCAGAAAACCGGAAGTGGCGCTGTAGCTCAAGTGGTAGAGCGCTCGCCTTGAGCTGAAGAGCTGAGGGACAGCGCCCAGGCCGAGTTCAAGCCCCATGACCGACAAAAAAAAAAAAAAACATATGGCTGGACAACAATGGCTCATGTCTGAAATTCTAGCTACTCATTATAATGTCTGAGATCTGAGGATCCCGAAGCCAGCCCAGGCAGGAAACTCTGTGAGACTCCAACCAACTACTCAAAAAAGCCAGAAGTGGCACTGTGGCTTAATTGGTAGAGTGCTAGCCTGGAGCACAAAGAGGCTCAGGGACAGGCCCAGGCCCAGAGTTCAAGCCTCCGGACAGGCAAAACAAACAAACAACCAAACAGATTGATCATATAAATCCACTTAAAGTGACAAGGCATAATCATGAAAACCAAAATATAATTAACTAAAGGTTGTAACTACATTTTAAGTTCAGGCTAAAAAGTTAGATACTTAGAAGTTTACACAGTAGAACATTAGAATATTTTATTCAAAAGAAAATAATACTGCATTTTGCAATCATGAGGTATTTTGGTCCCTGAGAATGCAGATTTTATTAGGAGATAGGGATGGCTGATAAGAATTTTCCATAGCCTACATAAAGTAAATATCTCAAAGACAAACCAATTTCCTTTGCTCCAATTCTACACTTACTAAGTAACATTTTATTACTTTGTTGATGAAGAAGGGAGTTCCCTAAGTAGGCAGTATATTTCTTTTTTTTTGTAATGGGGCTTGAATTCTGGGTCTGGGCATTGTCCTGGAGCTCTTCAGCTCAAGGTGGGCACTCTACCACTTGAAGCATAGTTTGCCAATTAACTGGTAGTTAATTGGAAATAAGAGTCTCATGGACTTTCCTGCCCACTGTCCTCAGATCTCAGCCTCCAGAGTAGCTAGGATTACAGGAGTGAGCCACGAGGGCCCAGCAGTATGAGACCAGAAAGATGTATTACTGGTGAACTTGTGAATTGCTGGACAGCTCTGGGTTTATAGATGAAAAACATTATGTTTGCAGAGCCAAAAAGCTGGGTATTGGAATCTGGGGAAGATGTGTAGTTCTCTACAGTCAAAAACAGCACTGTATATGGTTTTCAAAGTGCTCTTCTACATGTTATTTGAAATAAGAACTTAGATGAGTGAAATAAGAACTTAGATGGGAAGAAAAACAGTATAACTGCTAGGATGAATGTCCTCCTAAAGGTTAAAGATGAATTTAATCATTAATAAATGGTCTGGGGGCTGGGAAGGTAGCTCAGTGGTAGAGTGCTTTCCTTGCATGCATGAGGCCCTGGGTTTGATTCCTTAGAACCCCATAAGCAGAAAAAGCCAGAAGTGGTGCTGTGGCTCAAGTAGTAGAGCGCTAGCTTTGAGCTGAAGAGCTGAGGGAGAGTGCCCAGGCCCAGAGTTCAGGCCCTATAATCAACAAAAAACAAACAAATAAACAAAAATCGGTCAGTAATTACATTTGTGTGATAATTGAGGTATAACTAAAGGTGTTCTATAGTACACATTATTCAGATGTGGTAGAGTTCTCTACAGATTCTATTTATTTTGGTGCTGGGATGGAACCTAGGGCCTTGTACATATTAAGCAGAAGCTCTACCACAGAGATAAATTCCCAGGCTAAGACTCTCAATGATAGAATTAGAGATTTTCTAGAAGCCTACTTTGCTGGGATCTCAGCTGAAGTAGTAAAGGGCATTTCTGTTTTTTAAAAAAGGCAGATATCAGTTGATAAGCTTTTGAACTTTTTCTCTGGTAGCAATAAAAGAAGAGGCTAGAATGATTTCCTGTTTTGTGATAAGAGCTCTAAAGAGTGAAGGCTAAGATCTCTGACCTGGGTGCTGTGGCTCACACATATAATCCTGATATTTTGTGATTTGGAGATTGTTCTCCGGATTCAACATCACTTGACTGAACAGCTGAGTATGGTAGAGATTTCCCTAGTAACCAGGGAAGCACAAGTAGAAGGAATAAAGTCCATAACAGCTTGTCTAGCCCTGGTTATCCTTAAACTTTTGAGCCTCCAGCCTTATTTCCTGAGTGCTAAGATAACAGACATATAGCAGTATGCTCTGTTCTGTTTATTATTTTTTATGTCAACTACTTTTGGAAGTGGTATATGTGAGCTAAGTGACAATATACTTAAATAAAAAAGCCAAAACTTAAAAAAAAACAACAACATTCTCAAGCTTCTGTGCCTACTGAATTTTAGAAAATTATGTAACTTCAGCAGTGGATCATTGATAAGTATTTTCAAAAATAAATTTTAAGGGGCTGGGAAGGTGGCTCAGTGGTAGAGTGCTTGCCTTGCATGCATGAGGCTCTGGGTTTGATTCCTCAGCACCACAAAAGCAAAAAGTCAGAAGTGGCGCTGTGGCTCAAGTGGTAGAGCACTAGCCTTGAGCTGAAGAGCTGAAGGACAGCACCCAGGCCCAGAGTTCAGGCCCCACGACTGGACCCAAAAAATAAAAAATAAAAATAAATAAATTTTAGGGCTGGGATTGTAGCTTAGTGGTAGAGTGTTTGCCTAGTATGCATGAAGCTCTGGGTTTGATTCCTCAGTACCACATAAGCAGAAAAAACTGGAAGTGGTGCTGTGGCTCAAGTAGTAGAGAGCTAGCCTTGAGCAAAACAAGCTCAGAGACAGTGCCCAGGGCCTAAGGTCAAGCCCCGGACTGGCAAAAAAAAAAAAAAAGTAAGTTTTTTAGGAAGGAAAAATAAACCTATATAAAAGTACATACTAACTTCAACAAAGATACATTTAATTTGTAATAGCAAAGCAATTCATCATAGTTTATGATAATGTATACCTTATTATGTACAATTCCATCTTCAGTTTCTTCTCCCCAAGGCTGTCCATCATCAAATACAGGTGAGCTTTCTTTCATAGCAGTATATATCTAATCAGTACACAAATCACAAAGCTGATTTGAGTTTTCATGTTCTGTCAAATTCATATTTGGTATCATTTTTAGAAGCATTCACTTGTAGGACTAAAAGTTTTACTGAAGATATTATAGTTTTAAATATCATCTTTAGAGCTGGGCATGGTGGTACCCATCTGTAATCCCAACACTTGGGAGGATAAGACAGGAGGATCCAGAGTTCATGGCAAGCTTGGTCTATATAATCAGAGTTTGTCTTAAAAAGTGGGGAAAAAGAAGAATCTTGAAATTTTGGTAATCAAATCCCTTTATGATTTAGAAAGGATAGATCCATATTTAGTTGATCCAGAGAAATATGCTGACATTTATGCTGTTACTAATCCAGGAGGAGCACGTAAGTATTTTAATTCAACACTGAGTATGCAGAAGAGAACTGTCACATACAAGATGATCCAATATATCTCTTACATGAGCTAAATTCTGATGCTCAAACGTTATCAACTGACTCCTTCAGTATGTACAAACATAAAATTATCAATCAATCAATCAATTTGTTTTTAGTGCTGGGATTATAGGGCCTTATGCATATCAGTTTTTTTTTTTTTTTTGTCGGTCGTGGGGCTTGAACTCTGGGCCTGGGCGTTGTCCCTCAGCTCTTCAACTCAAGGCGAGCGCTCTACCACTTGAGCTACAGCGCCACTAACCTTATGCATATCAGGAAAGCATTTTAACACTAAGCAATGCTCCCCAAAATATAAAATTTAGATTGAATTTCAGAATATACAACTTGAGAAATGCTTTAAATCTGAAAGTGATAAAAAGGTCATTTCAGATGAAACCTGTTAATTTTCTTATCTTGAAACAGGATTTTAGAAACATGCTCTCTTTAGTCTATGCTTGTCCTACTATATTCTAAAGGCACTCATGTGGCTTTCTATAGGCCTAGTATGGATAGGGTGGGTGTAGGGAGAAGAGGTACAAAGTCTCATAATCAGATTTAATAAAGCCTTGGATAGAGCTCAAGATGAAGAAAAGACTTTTAAATTGACATCAGGGTAAAGAGTTTCTTGTTGCCTTATCAAAGGTTTTTATGAAAACCTCACTATTCTGCAAAGTTCAAAAAAAGCCTTAGAGAGGGAGAGCAGATCCCCAGAAACTATAAAAATCCTACAGTGAAAGAATTGACAAGTTCTGCACTGAGGAGAAAATTTGGCTGAAAGAGTTTTAACTTGAAGTTGTTTAAGACAGACATAAAAAGAAATATAGATTGGAGCCATCCTCTTAAATGTGGCATTTTCCAACATAATTATCACCTACCTCTCAATACAGTCAAACTTCAGAAGGGAACAAAAAGATTCAGGAGATTTGAGATAAGTTAAGACATGTTCACTTTGATTACTAAGCAAATCTCTTGGAGTACACCCAACCTGCCTTCCTACTCATGGTTATTAGTAGAGGAGAGGAGATGGAGGAACTCAGCCTAAACTATTGCTATTCAAACCAATTATGTGCCAAGTTCTGATCAAGGAAGCCTAGTAAGAATAAGGGGGGAAAATCAAGCTTTGTTATAAAATATCCACAAACAATGTGGGAATATAACAAGAATAAACAACAAAGAACAGATGCTATTAAGAAGCCAATATATTATATCATTTACAGAAAAATATTCTCAATCAATCCTGTGAAAGAATGTAACTTTCAGTAACCATTCTGGATAAAAAGCAGGTAAACTTCAACATATAAAACATTATCCCTTAACTGAAATATTATGATTAAATGTCAAACTAGAAGATACTTAATTTGAAGACAATGATAGCAATAGAAATCAACTAGTTGGTTGCCAGTATCTCACATCTGTAATCCTAGCTACTTGGCAGGCTGAGATTGTGTTCTGAGACCAGCCTGGCAAAAACAATTTTGAGACCCCTTCTTAGCCAATAGGCCTCATTTTGGCTTTGTGGAAGGCTAAGATTGGAAAGATCTTAAGTCCAGACTAGTCTGGTAGAAAAAATCTATGAGCCTTCATCTCAAAGGAAAGAATCTGGGTGTGATTTATCAGTCTGTCATTCCAGCTATGATGGATGTGACTTGGTACAAGGATATGACTGGGCAGGGAGCATAGCCTGTCTCAAAAATAATAAGCAGTAAAAAAACGGGCTGTTGGCATGGCTCAGTGGTAAGACTATCTGTTGAATAAGCATAAACACCTGGAAATAAAATTCAGAACCACAAGAAAAAAAATCAACAGAGAACAACAATATTAAGGAAGTCCAATAAAAGTAGTAACTATAAAAGAATATTAATAATTTTAGAAGTACAATGAATAAAAAGTCTATTCATCTTAATAACACTGGAACACATGAAATTAACTTAAAAATGTTTTTAACAGGGTATAATATGTCTCAATCCTGTATTCCTAGCTACTTAGAGATCAGGAGCTCATGGTTCAAGGTCAGCCCAGGCATAAGAAAGTTCAGGAGACTTCATCTCAGTCAGTGTGGGTACAGTGGTGTGTATCTGTCATCTTATTCAACAATGGAAGTTCAACTAGAAGGCTCCACAGACCAGGCTAGCCCAGGTATAAAGTGAAACCTTATCTTGAAAATAATCGACAAAAGCTGGGCACTGAGGATTGTGGTTCAAAGCCAACCTGGGCAGGAAAGTCTATGAGACTCTTATCTCCAATAAACTACTAGAAAACTGGAAGTGGCACTGTGCCTCAAGAGGTAGACAGAGTGCTTGCCTTGAGCTGAAAAAGGGCTTGGAGTGAGGCTCAAGTGATAGGTCACCTGCTCAACAAATGTGAGGCCTAGTAGTATAAAAAGCAAAAAAAAAAAAAAAAAAAGTTGAAGTGGAGAAAACTATAACATTTTGCTTAAGAAAAGATATAAATATGCAAAACATTTAATACTTTTTAAAATGACAAGATAATTTTTCACCAATATACCTGTGAGTTCAATGTGATGACAATGAAAGGAAAATCACAAGATATGTATGGAATTAAAAAAATAGTTTAAAGTATGAGAATATGTTTGTCTAGAAAATTATGAAAAGCAGTTAAGAATGTTCTACTGTGTAAAATATATTAGAAAGTGACAGATTATGATTCTATGATAGGGCAAAAATCTTGAGACATAGACCTAAGACTATATTGAGGACCATTCAAAACTGGGAAAACAACAAGTTACTTAATAAAAGGTAGTGAGTTATATGAGTGATAATACTTTCTCTCTCTCTCTCTTTTTTTTCTTCTTCCAAGTCTGTGCTGTTTATTTCAGGTTCAAGGTGTAAATGTCCAGTAGGCAGGTGGAAAGAGGGTTTCTAATTTTTTAGTTGTTATTATAAATGTGATGTACAGAGGTGTTATAGTTATACAAGTAAGAGTATATTTCATTCTGGATGTCACCACTTCCTTTACTCTCTCCCAGTTTTCCCCTCACTTTCTTAAGCTAAAATGAATTACAAATGAACTAACACTCAAAACCATTTGGCTATGTTGGTGTTTACCTGTAGGCCTAGCTATTCAGGAGGCTGAAATAGAGTATCATTGGAGTTCAAGAGTCTGAAACTAGCCTGGCAGCATGGTAATACACCATCTCAAAATAACAAAGGCACTCCCTATAACCATACCAGTTAAATAATCAACCAAAAAACTAAAACATCACAAAAATCCCATAAAAATACTAGGGAAAAAATTGGAAGCATTAAAAAATATTAGAGAGAAAAGGGAGGCTTTCCCAAATGCATTTAAAGTCTTTAAGCTTAAGTGGAAAAGATAATTAGAACAAGAAACTAACAGATTATTTACATTGTCATAGTTTTCAGTTCTACCTCATAAAGCAAAGCAAGATAGGAAGGAAGGGATTTCAACTTAAGTAATGGGATTAGAGGCATATGACCAATGCCATATAGCTATTGCATAATTCCTAGACCATTGTAGAACTACTGTCTCACAATCATCTAAGAAAACCCTAAACTGATTAGGCAAATTAAGGGTAGGTGTTCCAGTGACAGGAGGGGTATGGCAGTATCTGAAAGAGCACAGATGTAGTTCCCTTATCACATATATCATGAGGGAGAGACAGACTTGAATGCATAAATGTAAAGTCCAATAAAATTTCATTAATGGATTATAGTATTGGATTTCTACTCCTATCTTGACAACTGGTATTGTTGAATGTAATGGGGCTCCTGGGTCAAAATGCATCTACTCACTTACTTTTAGTTAAGGGACTTAGATAGCCAAGGGAATGGCTGAGGGGCCTTCATACTTTTCAGAATTCTAGCACAAGGTAGGACAGGAAACTCAGAAGGTACAAAAGGAAGAAACTGCCTTAGACTATCAAAATAGAGGAATCTATGGCCTGAGGGCTGAATAAGATATATGATAAGACATACACATATACTTCTTATTGGCTGCCTGTGGCCATCTGTCTGCACTGATGATTTTGTATGACTTAAAAATGATGTTAAAAATATCCTAATGGCCTTTGACAGAAAAAAGTTCTCCACTTCTGGAAGATAAAAATGATCAACTATGAAACAGTCAATATACAGCATATTTGCTGGATGCTGATGGTTCATGTCTAGAATCCAAGCTAGCTGGTAGATTGAAACTGATGTTTGAAGCTAGTTGAGGCAGACAAATCTGAGAGACTGTTATCTCAAATTAACCAGCAAAAAGATGTAACTAGAAATGTGGCTCAAGTGATAGAAAATAAGCTATGATCAAGCAAGCCCTAAAGCCTGAGTTCAAGCCCCAGTACTAGCACAAAACACATAACCAACAAAAACCCAGCACATTAAATTAGAAGGAAAAAGTGGGAAAAATATTTGCATTAAATAGAGTAGCTAATTTATTTAACTTAACCATTTTTACCCTACAAAATGGCACAACAGGGCTACAGGTGTAACACAGTAATAGAGTACTTGGCTAATACATTTAAGGCTCTGGGTTTGAGCCTCAGCATTACAAAAATAATACAAGACAAAACAAAACCTCAACTACCCCCAAGCAAAACAGACCTTTGTGTCATTTTCTTTGTAAGAAAAAAAGACATCTCCTTGAGTGTGGTAATATGATTTAATAAAATTATGCTATAGAAATAACATTTTTGTTGGTCATGGGGCTTGAACTCTGGGCCTTGGTACTGTTCTTGAGCAATTTTGCTCAAGGCTACAGCTTTACCACTTTGAGCCACAGTGCCACTTCCAGTTTTCCTGGTGGTTAATTAGAGGTAAGAGTCTCATGGACATTCCTGCCTTGGCTGGCTTTGAACCATGATCTTTAGATCTCAAGTTTCCTGAGTAGCTAGGATTACAGATGTGAGCTACTGGTACCTGCCTGAAATAACTATAATTTAATGTGTGTGTTTAAGGAGCTGTTAAACACAAGGTCTGTTATTTGTATTGTTAAAACAACTAGCTTCATGTTAATTGTTAAGTACTTTTGTAGAGCCACGAGGTTCTTTAAAGAATGTTTCTTTCAAAATAAAAAGCAGGCTAATGATAGTTACTTTTATGTGAGACATTTATTGGAGTTGTGCCTTCTCTACCATACATTCAATAAAAGTTAAAAAAAAAAAGTGAAGCTGGACGCCCGTGGCTCACGCCTGTAATCCTAGCTACTCAGGAAGCTGAGATCTGAGGATCGTGGTTCAAAGCCAGCCCAGGCAGGAAAGTCCATGAGACTCTTTATCTCCAATAAATCAGTAGAAAACCAGAAGTGTCACTGTGGCTCAAGCGGTAGAGCGCTTGACTTGAGCTAAAGACCATAGGGACAGCGCCCAAGCCAAGAATTCAAGTCCCACGACCCACCAAAATAAAAACAAATGAACAAACAAAAAAAGTGAAAAGGCAAAAGATATAAACAGTTTTTTATAATGTAAAAATGTTCAACTTAAAAAAAAATTGACTATTGGAGCTGGGAAGGTGGCTCAGTGGTACAGCGCTTGGCTTGCATGCCTGAGGCCCTGGGTTTGATTCCTCAGCACCACATAAGCAAAAAGAAAAAAAATTGACTATTTTCTTTTTGTCATTTTGTTGACTAATTACATCACTGGGACTAGAGGGTATATCTCAATGGTAGTATATTTACTTAGAATGTCAGTCTATAGGTTCAACCTATGGGAAAGTATAACACTGGGCAACACTGAGAAAAAGCTGGGCACAGTGTTGAGCATGAGCACCTCTAGCCATAATTATTTGGGGGAGTCCTAGTTATTGGCAAGAGAGGGCAGAGGTAGAAGGATGATTCAAGTCCATGAATTTTGAGACCAGCCTAGTCAACATAACAAGTCTTCATTTAAAAACAAAACAGTGAAGACTCAAATTATCAGTAAAAGAAAATATGAAATTCAACAACAAAAAAAAGTATGTATAGGCAGGTTTAAAGAAATATGAATAAGGGCTGGGAAAGTGGCTCAGTGGTAGAGCACTTGTCTTGCATGCATGAGGCCCTGGGTTCAATTCCTCAGCACCACATAAGCAAAAAGAAAAAAGCCGGAAGTGGCACTGTGGCTCAAGTGGTAGAGCGCTAGCCTTGAGCTGAAGAGCTGAGGGACAGCAGTCAGGCCCAGAGTTCAGGCCCACGACCGGACCCCCCCGCCCCCAAAAAAAAGAAAAAAGAAATATGAATAACAAACCATACCTAAGTAAAGTTGTTTCAACAATATATATAGTAAAACAAGCTGTTTTTACTTTGCTAACTGAAGAAGATTTTCAAGCAATAATGCCTAGGATGGCAGGGAGTAGTGGAATATATCTGTAATCCCAGCTATGCAGAGATGGATGCAGGAGAATACTTAATTAGAGGCTAGTCAGAGCAAAATTAGCAAGCTTCTCCTACAAAAACAAAATAAAGACTAAAGTGTTAGGACACAGTTCTAGTGGTATAGTACTTGCTAGAGCCCTGAGTTCAAACCCCAGTAACACAAACCCAAAAAGCCTAGAGCAGGAAAATGGGTATGTTCCCACATTGTGACAAGTTTGTATTTGGTACAAGTTTCCCAAAGGGAAATTTGTCAATATGTATCAACAGTCTAATAAATATATAGCCACAAACCACTTAATGATGGAGAACATGTTCTGAGAAATAAAGGGGATTTCACTGTGTAAACATCATAGCATAATTACATAAATCAAGATTGCCATCATTTAATGTGGTCTCTTAATCCAATCAAGACGTGTAAATGCAAGGAGTACAAAGCTGCCTCTGGCATAATGAAGCCATTTGTTTTATAATGAATACTTTTACATTTATATTTACATTTTCTTTACTTTTTTTTGTGATACTGTGAATTGAGCTCTAGGTCTCACACTTGTTAATAAAGTGTTCTACTACTTGAGACACATCTTACTCCTAAACATTATTTTTTAAGTAGGAGTACACTCTAATAATAAAATGCATATGAATATATACTCTTATGATAGTCACTGTATGTAACTATATGTGCTATACTTACATATGACTGGCAGTGGCAGTGTTGTAGGTTTCATTTTCTTCTTTTTTTGTGTGTGTGTGTGTATGCTGGTCTTGGGCTTGAACTCAGGGCCTAGTTACTGTCCCTTAGTGTTTTGCTCAAGGTTAGATCTCAACCACCTTAGTCACAAGCTCTATTTCCAGACTTTTTCTTTTAGTAGTCCACTGGATGTAAGAGTCTAATGGACTTTCTTGCCCAGACTAGCTTAGAACTGCAATCCTCAGATCTCAGCTCTGGAGTAGCTAGGATTACAGGCATAAGCCACTGGTGTCCAGCTAGGTTTCTTTAGATTAGCATCAATCAGAGATAGGTTGAGTAATGGTTTGTAATGGCCACAGTGTCACTAAGCACTAGGAATTTTTCAAGTCTATAAAAATTTAGTGTGACGATTCTTGTATATGCTATCCACCTTTGATTGAAATGTTATTAAGAGGCACATGACTGGCCGGGCGCTGGTGGCTCACGCCTGTAATCCTAGCTACTCAGGAGGCTGAGATCTGAGGATTGTGGTTCAAAGCCAGCCCGGGCAGGAAAAACCGTGAGACTCCTATCTCCAATAAACCACCAGAAAACCGGAAGTGGCGCTGTAGCTCAAGTGGTAGAGCGCTCGCCTTGAGCTGAAGAGCTGAGGGACAGCGCCTAGGCCCAGAGTTCAAGCCCCACGACCGACAAAAAAAAAAAAAAGAGGCACATGACTATACATATTTTGCAAACGAATAAAACACTTTTAAAACTATATCCAGACTGAAGGTATAAGTCAGTGGCAGAGTGCTTGTTAGCCTGTGTGATGCCTTGGGTTAATTTCCCAACTCCATAAAAATAAACAGAAGAACTATACTAAAAGGAAGTATTCTAAGTTGAGATATTATGGCTTTACCGCATTTATAAAACTTTTTGCAATAAATATGGATTTTAACTTAAAGAGGGGAAAATAAATTTCCTGAGGGACAGTTAAAAAAATCTATTTTCTACTGACTTGTTTTTATTTAAATTGTAAAACATCACGAGAACTATCTATGTACCTCTCTTGTTTTGCATTAACATTTTGAAGAATTTAAAATCAAAAGTACTTTGAAAAGATAAAACTTTGAAGTTGACTTTGAGAAAAGTGGCAGAGGTAATGTTAGAGAAACAAGAATATCTTTTTGACAAAGAAGCATTCTTAAGTATGTTCTAAAAATATTAAATTACATACCTTGATGCAGTCTATTAGCCATACCAGGGCTGCCACAATATGAGGCCAGGTGTGAGGGGCTCCCACTGTATACATGGAGCTTTTAGATAGTGCGAAAGGATATCTACACAAACGAGGGAAAGAAAAGTTAACTTCTGTTGCCATAATAAAGCACTAAATTAAATTGATAAGTTACACTGGAAAACCTCTGCTTTGCCCCGGTTGGGCAGAATCTGCTGAGATTCTTACTCGCTAATGATTTTATGTATTTTTGTGATTTCTTCTCTATGGCTTGCTTTGCATTATAATACCTTAACCTGCAGAATTTGATTTACAACCAGAATGCTGAACTCCCAAAATATCTTTTGTTTCCTTAATGTACTCTCAATAAACCATGTGTATGAACTTCTGATATTCTCATCCTCCATCCACCCTGTGCTTACCTTTTTTTATTTTTGCAACAGTCTTGTGTAGTATAGGTCACACTGGAACTTGTTAAGTAACTCAAGCTGGCCTTAGACTGGTGAGTTTCCTGCCTCAGCTTTCCAAGTATTGGGATTATAGGAGTGCACCAACCACACATGGCCTGTGCTTATTTTTTATGGTCTTTTTTCAATTTTACCTCACTCCATTTTACTCTAATCTTGCTGTTTTCACTCCTAAAATCTGTAACTAGGTTGTACTTTCTGTACTGTATTATTTCAGCATGTTCAACACCTTATGTGTATCACCTGTAATTCTGTAATAACCTACTACTATAGTTAGAGTGTTTGTCCCTTAGAACTCAGGTGTTAGAATCCTAATGCCCAAAGCTCTGTATTGGTTATATATACATGGCACCACTGGGAGGTGACTGATCCTTTTATGAATGGATTAGTCCATTTCTGGATTAGTGGGTTACTGAGAAAGTGGGCTTTGTTTTAAAAGTTAACTCTGACACACTTGTTCTCTTTTGTCGTGTGGTACTCTTTATCATGACATGACCTAGCCAGAAAGCCCCCACTAAATGCTGAGCCACTAGCCCCATTCTTCTGGGTTACCCAGGTTCCAGAACCATGGGCTACATAAACCCTTATTCTTTATAAATTTCCTAGTCATAGGAATTTTTGTTATAGCTAAACAAACAACCCTCCAAAAGCAAAATCTGAATCAATAGAACTATGAAGTTGTTTTATTTACCCTTCAATTTATTCAAACTCTTTATAAATTTATTGAGTTTGGTTCCTCTCAGTGTTCCAATAAATTTTTTAGACTGATGAGAAATATACATACCCAAGATCTTTAAAAATTCTTGGAACCTCTTCTTCAAATTTTGTGTCAGGAAGTTCATATGAAGGGCATAGGAAGCCATAAAGAAAACTGAAGATCTTAAGGAAGTCCTTAATAGATGGAGCTTGAAGAGACTTCACGGACACATTATATGCATAACCATTTTCTGTAAGAAACTACAATAATTTTTATGAACAAGCAAACAATTTTGAAATAGAAAAAAAATTATTGGAATAAGGCCGCAACTTGACTATTTAACTTAGAAAATACCTCACAGAGTTGTCGAATACACTGCTGAATGAATGCTTTGTCATTAAGTGGTCTTGGATCCTTTATTTTTTCAGAACTGGAAAATATACCAAGCTGACTATTCCGGGATCCATGTCCACTTGTTCTAGAAACATATTTTTAAAAAGGCAGTCAAAACAATATCCTTCTGTGGTCAAGTCTGACTTATTTTAAGGCGATTAATACTAAAGTTTAATTTTTAGTTCTTATTAACTAAACAAAATTCTATTAATTAAAGCAGCGGAAGAGTAAAATATGATATTATAGCAGTCAAAGATAATTTTGATATACTTCTATGGAGATGTATCTCATGGCAGAGCACTTGCTTAGTATGTGCAATGCTCCCAGGATTGTACAAATGAAACAAAACACACAACAAAAAAATCTTCTGATGTTTTATATTATTGATACACATTATTCACAGTTCACTCTATCATTTAAGTATTCAATAAACACGGTCTCTTTCAGGCTTATCTGCCTATGATTGTTCCCTTACTCAGCACTACCTAATTTGACACTATTTCTTTTTGGAAAAATGCCTGAGGATTACTGAAAGAGTTAATGTAGACAAAGCATTTAAAACAATATTTGACCCATAGGAATGCTCAATACCTGTTCAACTTTGTAAATATTACTGTCATCTCCTTTAATGATGTCTCAGAACTGCTTATGGAGATACTCTTATTTGTTGTCTCCGCTTTTACACTTGATGAAATTGAAACACAGAGGTAAAGTAATCCTCCCAAGGCTTTTCAAATAATAGGAATTTTTCCTGTTAATCTGTCAAACTTCTACCTCCAGTACAGATAGCTGCTAATCTAGTTTAGTGAATGGGCTCAAAGTGTTAACTAAGGATCCCTGAGAAGTCAAACCTATTAAAAAAATATAATTACATTGTTATTATTTATTTATTTTTTGCCAGTCTTGGGGCTTGAACTCAGGGCCTGGGCACTGTCCCTGAGCATCTTTTGCTCAAGGCTGTCACTCTACCACTTGAGCCACAGCTCCACTTCTGGCCTTTTCTCTTTATGTGGTTCTGAGGAATCGAACCCAGAGCTTCATGAATGGTAGGCAAGCACTCTACCACTAAGCCACATTCCCAGCCCCACATTGTTATTATTAAGGGGTTGTACAGAGGGGTTACAATTCCTTAAGTCAGTAAACGAGTACAATTCTTCTTGGACAATGTCACCCCTTCTTTCACTTTCCCCAGTTCCTCCCTCCAATCCCTGCCTACAAATTGCATAGTTCATTTTTTTTTTTGGCTGGTTGTGGGGCCTGAACTCTGGGCCTGGGCGCTGTCCCTCAGCAATTCAGCTCAAGGCTAATATTCTACCACTTGAGCCACAGTGCCACTTCAGCTTTTTCTGCTTATGTGGTGCTGAGGAATTGAACCCAGGGCCTCATGCATGCAAGGCAAGCACTCTACCACTGAGCCCCTTCCCAGCCATGTATAGTTCATTTTTAACCTAGTGTATATTATACTTAATACCATGACTGCATTTGTTCACCTTTCCTCCTTCCTGTGAACTGCTTTGCCCCTCTCAAAGACAACAAAAAATACCAAAAACAAACAACATCAACAATAATACAAGTCAAATCTCTCTTTTTTTTTTTTTTGTCAGTTGTGGGACTGAACTCTGGGCCTGGGCACCTATCCCCTCAGCTCTTTAGCTCAAGATGAGTGCTCTACCACTTGAGCCACTGTGGTTTTCTGGTGGGTAATTGGAGATAAGAGTCTCATAGACTTTTCTGCCCTGGTTGGCTTTGAACTGCAATCCTCAGATCTCAGGCTCCTGAGTAGCTAGGATTACAGGCATGAGCCACTGGTACCCAGTGAGATAAGATTTTATTATAGCCAGGACTGCCTTGAATAAACTATTCTCCATTCTCTGCCTCTAAACTTTTGGGATTATAGGCAAGTGCCACCAGGATGCCTCCAAATTTTACCATTTTAAATTGGTGAACACTAGAGCACAACCTCTGTCTTGAAAGGAATCATGTCATTTAATTTTTTCCTTATCTGAAAGCATCAGTGAATGGTTACTTGGACTGTACAAGGCCCTGGTTTCAACTCACAATGAGACACTACCACTACCAATGAAAGGAAATCTATTAGAACAAATAAAAAATAATATTACCTTTTACCAAATATAGATACTTTTCTTTCAGATGTAGGTTTACTTATACTCAACTTTCCAAAGGCTGGTTTCTCTTTGCTTGAAGAAAAATAGAAAAACAATTGTTTAAAATAAAAAGCATAAGCTCAAAACACGTTGGAAATATGTTAGAACCAAAATTTCTTCCCATTAAAACTATTCAAAATCATAAAAGATATCAGTAGCAATCTCTAACTGTTATGACTACAATGGGCTACTATAAGTTACAATGCTAAAGTTAAGAAGCAGAAAACTTATCTATTTTATTCTATCTTCAAGTATGCTATGGATAACAACTTTAAGGAAAAAGATATAAAAATCCTTTCAGAAGCCGGGTGCCGGTGGCTCATGCCTGTAATCCTAGCTACTCAGAAGGCTGAGATCTGGGCTGGGAAGGTTGATCAGTGGTAGAGCGTTACACTGCATGCTTGAGGCCCTGGGTTCAATTCCTTAGTACCACATAAGCAAAAAGAAAAAAGCCAGAAGTGGCACTGTGACTCAAGTGGTAGAGCGTTAGCCTTGAGCTGAAGAGCTGAGGGACAGCGCCCAGGCCCAGAGTTCAGGCCCCACGACCGGACCCAAAAAAAAAAAAAAAAAAGAAGGCTGAGATCTGAGGAACGCAGTTCAAAGTCAGCCTGGGCAGGAAAGTCCATGAGACTAGATTGCCAATAAAAACCACCAGAAAGCGGGCACTGTGGCTTAAGTGGTAGAGTACTAGCCTTGAGCTGAAGAGCTCAGGGACAGAGCCCATGCCCAGAGTTCAAGCCCCATGACTGACAAAAAAAAAAAATCCTTTTGGGGAGCTAGGAAGGTGGCTCAGGGGTAGAGCGCTTTCCTTGCATGCATGAGGCCCTGGGTTCGATTCCTCAGTACCATACACACACAAAAAAGTTGGAAGTGGCTCTGTGGCTCAAGTGGTAGAACACTAGCCTTGAGCTGAAGAGGTGAGGGGCAGTGTCCAGGCCCAGAGTTCAGGCCCCATGACCAAAAAAAAAAAAAAAAAAAAAATCCTTTCAGTCATACATTCATAGCTATTTTGAATTTTTCTTTTAAAGCTTGTTTTTTTAAATTAAAATTTTTGACTTTGTATTTATTATAAGTATATTATACACAAACCAAACCAAGAATATTTGGGGAAATTTTCATCAGGACTCTCCTCTTCCTTCAATGGTGGTACCCAGTGCAAATAAGGATGTACCTTCTGAATACTTGTCTATCTGTCTGTCTATTTTATGGGAGTGGGATTTGAAATCAGAGCCTATGCTTGCTAGACAAGTGCTGTACTTCTTGGCCTATGCACCTAGTCCTTCAACACATAGTAAGATATGTAGTTCTACAAAAGATAAATTTAGAAATGAAAAAAAAAGTGAGATATGGGCCTCGCTAAAAACATGCTATTGCCAGGCGCCAGTGGCTCATGCCTGTAATCCTAGCTATTCAGGAGGCTGAGATCCGAGGATTGCAGTTCCTGCCAGCCTGGGCAGGAAAAGTCTGTGAAACTGTTATCTCTTAACTACTAAAAATGGAAGTGGTGCTGTGGCTCAATTGGTAGAGAGCTTGCCTTGAGCTGAAGAGCTCAGGGATAGCACCCAGGTCCAGAGTTCAAGCCCCATGACCAACAACAAACAAACAAAAGCAAAAAAAACCCCAAAACTTAAAAAAAACCATGCTATTATGTCTGTTACTCTTAATAAAATTAGTATCTGTTAATATTTTAAGTTTTAATTTCTAATATGGTTAATACCAACAGATATAGCAGGAGAATAGTGGTTCGTATGATGTAAGTCTGCCCTCAAACCCTCCATTTGCCTTCTTCTCTCTTGAGTGCTGGTATTATAGGTGTGCATTACAAAACTCACTGTCAGAATAAAGCTCTATGTAATGTACATGTTGTAAATTACTGAAAAACCCATTGACAATGGCAATATTTCTCCTTTAATATAACTGAAGACATAAATCTGTAACAGTACAAAAATTCCTTAGGGCTGAATAACTTCTGGCTAGTGAGCTGCATATAGCCCAAGAAATGATCTGGTACATGACAAAACAGAATACATATGATTCTTGTGTTTTCTGTATGTAGCCTGAGGTGGTCTACCTACATTGGGCTGAAAATGGTACTACAAATATCCAAATGGCCGTTGGCAGAATAAAAGTTCCTCACGCCTCAAAATGTATTCAGAAAAATATATTTCAAACATCTACAAATAACAGAAACTCACCCTATGTAAATGCAAGGACTTTATCAAGTAACTTGTGCCTAGTAGGCATTAGTGCCCCCATTCCACAAGGGCTTACAAAAGCTTTCTGTTAATAGAAGAATGTCATTAAGGGGGGGGGGAAGTCTACATTTTTGGATACCAAGCTCATGCAGACAACTTTTGCTGTGAATTTTGAGGGAATAATTTGAAGTAGTGTTCTGTTGCCTTCTATGACACTGTAGCTAATCAACAGAGAAAATAATACTGCTTTGATTTGAGTAAGAACTTTGGTAGTAGGAAACATTTTAATAAGTTCAAAGTTATAGAATAGACCGTGTATGAACCAAAAACCATAAGATAAAAAAGGAGAACAGTATTGAAGGGGCATTCCTTTTAGAAGGTGCCTTGCGAAGGACTTAACTTTGAGAATTTAAGGAACAAATGAGATAAATTCGTAACACTTAACTGATGTACCACTTTTAGATTTCATTTACTCCAAATTAGGTAACACTGGAAAGAGAAATCCATCATACTACATCCCCCCCCCCCCCTCTTGCCATGTCATGGGGCTTCAGCTCAGGGCCTGGGTGCTGTCCCTGAGTCTCTTTTCAAGACTACCTCTCTACCACTTGACTCACAGGCACCACTTCCCATCTTTTCTGAATAGTTTATGGGAGTTAAGTTCTCACAAAGTTTTCTTACCTGGCTAGCTTCAAACCAGGATCCTCAGATCTCAGCCTCCTGAGTAGCTAGTATTATAGGCATAAGCCACCAGCACCTGGCCATACTACATCTTTATATCAACTACTTTTTATGATTTCTTTGCCCAAGACAATAGGTATGAGAAACACTTACGTTTGAGGGGTATAAAGGCATTGTTTATTCATGTCCAAAGATCTCAACTCCTGCATAGAGAGACGGCCAGCACCACCAGTAGAAACTGAACTGCGCTTCATGCTTATGACCTACATTCACGAATTTAGTGTTAGCAAAAATTACACAGGTAACCGGTAAACAAAAAACTTTATACTCAAGGGAAAAGCAGTGTTCTGCTTTTTCAAGATAATTTCATGTACTACCTTTACTTGCTCATGTATATGCAAGTCTTGATTTGCAAAGAAACACCTATGTAACTTCAAGTATTCAATACTTAAAAACATTTACTAATGGTACATCATATATAAGGGCATCTACTAGTGTAGAAGATACAAAGATTAATATGATTCCTATCTTTTCAAGGGTACTCATGATCACAAAAATCCCTGAATATCCTGACCATATCCCTATTATTGTGTGTGTGTTTATTTCAATGGGAAGTCAGAGATAGGTTGAGAAGAACTGCCTCAAGTTCTTTTTATTTCCCTTAAAATGCTCACTTCATTATTCATCTCAAGGAAGAGAGCTATTCTGTTTCTTTTCCTAATACCAATCTCTCCTTTATACTCAATTACTGTCTCTATGGTTCCAATCTCAAGATTTATCCTTGGATAAACTATCCAGTCCATAAATGATTTGTAGCATGCTTCCATTTTCTTTATTATCCTTTTAAAGAAAATTGATTTTATTTTTAATTCAGCATAATGTAACATTTAAAACTTTGTAACTGTGCATATTTAGATCCAGAAGTACTCGAGTGTTTTATATACAATCATTTAAAATTGTCCTAACATAACACAAATATAAACGGCAGAATAAACCTGTCAAGTATTTTTATCCTTAAGTACATGTAAAGCACACTGTCAAACAACATAAAAACTCTTGGAAGGGGTATGCACAGTGCCTACTATACTATGGCTTTCTATATTAAATATATGTGTGGACAATTTAATTCTTTTAAAAAGAAAACGAGTCTTGTATCAACTTTGCAACATCCAAACAAGTTTTGTAACGAGGAAGAATTAACACTGTAGTTGAGCCTGGGTATTAAACATCTATTTCATTTACTGAAACCAATGCCTCCCTTTCTTGGGGTCCGGTTTCCATTTTAAAAAACACATGATTAGCACCTCAATCCTTTCAGGGCTACTCTAAAGGCTGTCTTGTAATTGATCAGGATTGACACACCTTTTGATCCTCGCTCCATCTCTGGTATTAGGCACTCTCCACGCAACCTTCTCAAGATCGGCCCTCCCTAACGTGAGGGAGTGGACGTCTGTGCTGATTTTTACTTCTTTGGACACCCCATACTCTTTCACACTGACTACATTCACTTCCACTTCCTTTGTGTTTGTTTTTTGCGCATCTAGGTATAAAGTCCAGGGCTCTGGCCTGGCTAGGCAAGTGCTCTACCCGCCCCTCTCCCCCCGGGAAGTATCAACACCTCCAGGATTCTGGCTAGTCCTTCTTCCACTCTCTCGTCCTCTCTTCTCCTTCGTCTCTTCTACTTTACAGCGCTGTCTGCTCTCAACTAACACTTAAAATGTACTCTCAAGATTTAGGCTTTCAGACCTGACAGAGTCGCTACTAGACCGCTAAGTACGAAGCTGCGGTGGCAGAAGAAGCCGACACATCACAACAACAGGCGAGTTCTAGTCTTTCCCTTCCCATCCTCTTCTCTCTCAGCTCGCTCCAGCCTCTCGTCTAGACCCTTCCCTCGTCCCTTGAGCAATCGCTGCCAAGGGAAATGTTGGGGACTCGGACTCCGCCCGAGCTCTCGCAGGACAACCAACACCACACCATCACCTTCTCCCTCCACCGCAGCTTGGCCTTCATTTTACTTACCTTTCTTTCGGCCTTCTGACAAGGTCCAGGGGTCGAATTTCTCCAAACCGTGCTAACACTGCTCAGACACCAGAGAAGCCGCCAAAACGTAGGCTTCTACCTCCGCCACTCCCGGCGGCGGTTTGAATTTTAAAATCTCCGCCGACGCTGACGTCATCGCGCACGACGTGAGCAGGCGTCATTCATCCGCGCCGGCGCTTCGTTGCCGGAAGTCGGCCTCTGCACCGCACCCCGCCCCGCGGTCTTGCGGACATACTGACATCGGCCCCTGCCCTTCGCCAAGTTGGCGGGTCTTTGAAAGTGGGCCCTGAAGACCCAAGAGCTCCCACGCCGCCCGGGAATGGTCTGGACGCTTTAAGTTTCCAAGGAAACGCCTTTTCCGTACAGCAATATGGCGGCGCCCATCGGCTCTCCTTCCCCACCCTCTCTTTAATGGTTACTGTTTGGTGCTATTTCCGTGAGGCGGCGTGCATTTTACCGACCGGAGACGAGGTGAGGTGGCTGTAGGCTGTAGTCCGTTCCGAGGCTTTCGCCTTCGAGGCCTGGCTCAGGGTTCCCTCTGCTCTCCTGGTTCTCATGGTCCTCTAGTTGTGGGTTGCCCGCGAGGGCCCGAGGTGCTGAGGAGCCTACGGGAAGTGGCCCCGAGTTGCTGTGAGGCAAAGAAGGAGTCAGTACTGTTGTTTTATTTCCTAACATTTCTCTGAATTTGAACCGAGAGTCAGGCATTGCCCGGTTCCTGGAAAGTAGCAGAACGTCTCTGAGCGAAAGCTGAGAAAACTTAAGTAATTGTGTCATTAAGCAGAATTGCAATTTGGAGGCAAATTGCGTTTTCTTGTGTGGATTTTAGGTTCCCCCTCCACCCTCCCCCCCAACAAAATTTTTACAACTCATTAGCCATTTCTGGGCTTCCTCACCTCATGAGGTGACCAAGAAAGGGGTGCCCAGGGTCACCAGCATCGCCAATAGCAGCAATGGCCATCTAGCTGAGCAATTGCTATGGGGCCAAGCATTGTGCACCACATTCCATGTGGATTATCTCCTTCACGTAAATAATCTCTTTATACCGAATTATTACTGTCCTGTACACTGAGATGTAATAAAAAATGATGACAGTGAGGCTGAATGAAATCAAGTAACTTGTCAATTGTCATATTGGGAATACACAGGGATTTGAATCTAAATAATATTAACTGTTCTGTGAACTGCTTCTTATTTGTACTCACTGTCTTAGGTTTAGAAAGCTTTATCCAGAACTGTAAACCACCTTTTGAAAACGATAAGGAAGTTCTGACCAGTTAGTTACTTGAGAACTGTGGCTCAGACCTATTATGGATCTGGACCCTTAACCTTGGAGTTTTGCTTAAAGCTTGTTTTCTTGGGGGGGGGGAGGGGTAGGAAGGAAAGGTGTAGTCCTAGAACTTGAATTCAGTCCTAGGTACTGTCCCTTAGTTCATTTTCTCAAGGATAGTGCTCTACCACTTAAACCATAGCTTCACTTTTGACCTTTTTTGGTATTTAATTGGAGATAAGTAGGAGTCTCAACGGCTTTGCTGCCTGGGCTTTTTTTTTTTTTTTTCTCTTTTGGTCCGTCGTGGGGCTTGAACTCTGAGGCTGGGTGCTGTCCCTGAGCTCTTTAGTTCAAGGCTAGCACTCTACCACTTGAGCCAAAGCACCACTTCTGGTTTTCTGGTAGTTTATTGGAGATAAGAAGAGTCTCACTGATGGTTCCTGCCCAGGCCAGCTTTGAACCATGATCCTCAGATCTCAGCTTCCTGAGTAGTTAGTATTACAGGCATGGGCCATGGGGATTCTGTGGGTTTAGTATTTTTGAAGTGCTGTTAAATTGGATTTGTTCTGACTAGACCAGTCCTTTAACCCTTTTACTCTGCTTATAGAACAATGATGCTGGGAAATGGGGTGATTTACTTTGATAAAATCAAGCATTGACTCATTAACAACTTCTCCTGAAATTATAGAACCCTTCTACATAGGTTTATCTCCTTAAATAGAAGGAGTTCACATAGTTAATGTATTAATGTATTACTTTCTGATTTGTCAGGACACTTTTAAGGATTTATTGACTTACATACCGAAGAATGCTGACCTAGTGACTGGATCCAAGAACTAAAGCAAGGAGTGTGGAAGACATGAGAAGATAGTAGGAGGATTATATTGGGATTCCAGATAATAACAAGTTAAAAACTTCTTTGGCTGAGTTGGCTGAAAATTTTGAATGATCAACTCTGAAGTGAAAAGAAGTTTATATTAAAACACTGCAGCTTTCCTTAGAGCTGTTATATATATTAACAAGCATGAAATTCTCTTCCATGCACATCAAATCTGTGAATTAAGTATGTGTTTATTGGAATACAGATTATTTAAGAACTTGATCTTCAAAGTTCTGTTTTACTTCTAATTTTTGATTCCTAGACTTTTTTTGAAGGAAGAAAATGTCTGTAGTACACCAGCTGTCATCTGGGTGGCTACTGGATCATCTTTCTTTCATTAACAAGATAAATTATCAATGTCAGCAACATCATGAACCTCATTGCAAAAATAAGCCTGCTTCTTCTGTCCATTTTGATTCTCTTCATATGGATTCTTTGTCATGTTTTGGTGCCTCTGCTCCATGTATTGCTTTGAACTCTACCACTAAGCCAGAGAATGAGGATGGGGGAAATTGTGAAGTATTCACAAAAAAATATGTCTTTCGGCCTGAACTGTTTAATGTCACCAAACCTTATATAACTGCACCTGTTCACAAAGAACACCAACAAAGTAATGAAAAAGAACATCTAATGAATGGTGTTAAAAGAGAAATCTCCGTTTCTGTTATTGGGAAGGTAGACAGTTTTACATATATAATTTTCTAAAGGAAACAATCAAATACTTTGTAGTTTATTAACTATAAACAAGATCGAATGAAACAGAAAGCATTAGCATATCCAAGGTGATTTTTAACTAAAGATTCTACCATTCTAGAACACCAAATTGAATATTTCAGGAGTAAGCAAGTTTGACTCAGAAGTGAGTGTTTTATAAATAAAACCAAACCCCAAGCCCTTTCTGCTTAGCCATTTAATGAGTAAAATTTTTAAAATTAAAGAACATGTTTCTTTCTGTGCAAAATGCTAAAAGCAGTAAGTGGAGTTTGGGAGGTTTATAGAGATCTGTTGGGGATAAGTTCATAATTAAAGTTTGACAAATAGATGGTAGTTTTAGAAAAGTTTCTGCTAATGAAAGTGGAAATATAGTGTTGGAAATGTACATGTCTGAAACACAAATGTTTGTATACATATATTTAAAAATACTAAAATATTTGGGTATACATGTAAGTATATACTTTTAATTAAATTTATTTATTTTTTGATTATGTGGTACTGAGGAATTGAACCCAGGGATTCATGCATGCTAGGCAAACACTCTGCCACAAAGCCATATTCTCAGCCCCATCTTTTTTTTTTTTTTATTGTAAAGATACTATACAGAGGGTTACAGTTACATGAGTGAGGTAATGAGTACACTTCCTCTTGAACATTGTTACCCCCTCCATTGTTTTCCCCCTACCATCCCCTCCCTCCCCTCCCTTCCCCGAGATTCTTTTTTTTTTTTTTGATTGTGATTAAGTGATCACATAATTTCCGGAAATTCACAGTATTGTGGAATAATGATGCTCATTTAAAGTCACAAGTTCATTCTAACTTTCCTGGAGCAAATTGTCTATCACAGTCTAATATATAACGGTGCTCACATGTTATATACCATATATGTGATCAGCAGCATGGGGATATTTAGTAGTGGTTTAGCCAGATGAGTGGGAGTTCTTTGTTTCTTAAGTCCTGTTAGTTTTGTCGTATCACCTAACATTTTGGATTTAGCATCCACTTATCAGGGAGACCATGTACCGTTTGTCTCTTCGCTCTTGGCTTACCTCGCTCAACATGATTCCTTCTAGCTCCATCCATTTCCCTGCAAATGCCATTATTTTGTCATTTCTAATGGCTGCATAATATTCCATTGTGTATAGATACCACAATTTTTGGATCCATTCATCTGTGGTGGGGCATCTGGGTTGTTTCCATATCCTAGCTATTGTGAACAGTGCTGCAATAAACATGGAGGTGCACGTGTCCTTGTATATTGGTTCCTGTTGTTCAGGGTAGATGCCTAGAAGTGGTATGACTGGGTCGTAAGGGAGGTCAATCTTTAGCTTTCTAAGGACCCTCCAGACTGCTTTCCAAAGTGGTTGTATAAGTGTACATTCCCACCAGCAGTGTAATAGGGTTCCTCTTTCTCCACATCCCCTCCAGCATTTGTCGTTGGCTGATTTGTGGATGTGGGACATTCTGACTGGGGTAAGGTGGTATCTCAGGGTTGTCTTTATTTTCAGCCCCATCTTTTAAAAGTTGAGAATTACATATAGGCTTGAATTATACCTCAATACATACATAAATATATGTGTGTGTGTGTGTGTGTATGTACATATAGTTCAGGAGCTCACAGTTGATTACACAAAGTCCATTTCACATGAGTTTTATTTATTTATTTTGTTTGTTTGTCATGGGGCTTGAACTCTGGGCTTTAATGCTGTCCCTCAGCTCTTCAGCTCAAGGCTAGCGCTCTACCACTTGAGCCACAGTGCCACTTCTAGGTTTTCTGAGTGGTTTAATGGAGATAAGAGTCTCATGGACTTCTGTGCCTGGGCTGGATTTGAACCACGATCCTCAGATCTCAGCCTCCTGAGTAGATAGGATTACAAGTGTGAACCACTGTGCCTGGCTTGTTGTTAGTGATAGGAATGACATTGATTACTCATCCATTGACTCTGTGTGTGTGTGTGTGTGTGTGTGTGTGTGTGTGTGTGTGGGGGGGGGGGGTTTGAACTCCGGTCTTCACACTAGCGAGATCAGTGCTTTTACCATTGAACTACAACTCCAACCTTGATTTTACCTTATAAATGAGATAGGGTCTTGCCCAAATGGGTACCTGGGCACATCCACCTATGTTAAACTTCATGGTAGCTAGAATAACAGATATGCATCACTATGTCTAACTCTTGGTTGGATAGGGAAATCTTGAAAACCTTTTACTTTCTAAGCTGGCTCAAACTGCTATCCCAATAATTCAAGACTCCTAGGTATCTAGGATTACAGGTGTGAACCACCAGCATCTAGTTCTATGTGCTTCTCTACAGAGTGATGAGGTAGTCTTTGTCCCCATCTACCTTATAAATGAGCAGAAAAGAAGGAAATAGAAAGCATGTTGAAAATTAAGGAAAGTAGCCGATAATTTTTATTACATTATTGTAGATACCTAAAGTAGAATTTTTAATGCTCTTGTGAATTTTTACTGCATATGTTTCTTTAATATGTATTGATTGTTTATGTGTGAAGCACAGAAAAGACTATATTGTGTTGTAAGATTTCAATAAAATGTGGGCAATGTACCCTTACTGTTCTTAATTCAGACAAATAAGCAGTTGTACTTTGTAGTTTGGTGTGGGCATTATTTTTAAATTTTTTAGTCTCATATTGAGTTTTCATATTAATATATAAAGGTTAGATGAAGATATGTAGTGAATGTTAACTTTTTTTCTTTTGCCTTGGGAAAGTACCTCCTTACAATGTACCCTTTGCATTGATTTTAACAGCAGAAATTATTGCCTCCTAAAGATAGATACAAAATATAGAAAATGTTTGAAGATAAAAAGATACTATTAAAAAAAAGAAAATATATGTTTAGAAATGTTAATGTCTGCCAGATGGCAATATAACTTTTTCTCTGTAATTTATCTACTCTTTAGAAGCGTAAAAGATGTGTTGCTTTCAATCAAGGTGAATTGGATGCTATGGAGTATCATACAAAGGTAACTATAAAATGTTCATTAATCACTTTGCAAGTTTAATGTGAATTGGTATAAAACAAATGGACAATATAAGGATGTTAAAAATCAAAGTGTGTGTGTGTGTGTGTTTGTGTGTGTGTGTGTGTGTTGGTACCACATGGCTTGAACTTCAGGCCTCATGGTCTTGCTCAGTTTTTTTGATAGAATCTTGCAGGATTTTCTGCTCAGGCTTGCTTTGAATTGTGATCCTCAGATCTCAGTAGTTAGGATTACGGTGTGAGCCCACTGCCACCTAGCTTCAAGGATCATTTTGATCAGTTAGAACTTGCTTTTATAATAATGACTAGTATAAGCCAGTTATCTTTCTTTTTAAAAAATTATTTTTTGTGGTGCTGAAGTTTGAACCCAGTGTAAGGTTTTAGGCGATCTCCAGTGGCCTGACAGAACCTCCTACATGCCAGGCATGTGATAAGTTACATTTTATTTCTATTTGGGGTTTATCTTGGTATCTTCTTGTTCTTGATTTCCAATTTGTCTTTTGGCATTTAAGAATATATTCTAGTGGGACTGGGAAGGTGGCTCAGTGGTAGAGCGCTTGCCTCGCATGCCTGAGGCCCTGGGTTCAATTCCTCAGCACCACATAAGCAAAAAGAAAAAAGCCGGAAGTGGTGCTGTGGCTCAAGTGGTAGCGTGCTAG